CAATGACCTCGGTCGCGCGACTGCGGTGGAGTCACTGACCTCGGTCGCGTGACCGCGGCGGTGTTACTGACTTCGGTCACAAGATTACGGTATATATATATATATATACATATATGCGTATGTGTGTATTATATATAGATATAGAATATTACATATAATCACAATCTTTATTTTAATAAAATATATTTGTCTCCTTTAGCTCTTCTACATAAACATGATACATATATTTAAAAAAGCAAAAAAACAAGAGACAAAATAAAATTTATATGTGCTGTATCAAGGTATTTTTTACTACTTTTTATTTATAAATCATTTTTAAAAAGAAACTATATTGTATACAATCAATTAGTTCAATACAAAGATATTATAATGAGAGACATATAACAATCTATGTTTTAGCTTCATATCTTCGTATAAATACGTGTGTAAACTGAATCTTATTCTGTTTTTTAACCAAAGATTGAATTTTCTTATAGTGATTACTAAATGTAGAACAAAGATGAACTAATGATGAACTGATCTCTTCGCTTACAGCCTGTGAGTGACTAAAAGTGTAACGTAAACAAGCCTTTTGTCTGTCGAAAATTAAAAATCTTCTACATGTGTGAGTATACAGATTCATATATAAATGCAAATATAGATATTTCTGTGTATTCTAGTTTTATGTTTTATGAGAGAATCGGATTTGCATGTAAATGTTCAAAATACCAGACATATATATACTCAAAATAACAGACATATATATACATATATATATACATATACAAATATATGTCTGTTATTTTGAACATTTACAGCAAATCTGATTGCAATACATCGTGTTTTTTACTAATAGACATATACATATACATATATATATATATTTATGTCCATTAGTAGAAAACACAATGTATTCATTTAAACTGAGCAAGCTCAATACATGAAATGCATCAGTATGATTCATTTTTTAATGAAGAAACTATCTAAATATAAAAAGAAAGTTCTATATATATATTATTTCATACTGTCAGTATTAACATTTTTCTTTTTCTTTGTTGTTCACTAAATGTTAAACAAAATACCAATATTGTCAGTGTGTAAATAATTGTTCACAAAAACAGAAAAACTAACTGTGATAGATAAATGATATGTCTTGAAATCAATGTTTTTTAATAACTACATAAAAGAACTACAATAGAAAAGACACTCATATCATTAAACAAGTTATTTTCTTACGTACACAATTCTCACAGTCACACAATCTTTTTTTTTTTTCACGTTCTCCTTTTATCCTACTACTAAATAGAAATAAAAGAAAAACGCGATAATTGCAAGTTAATGTGGCCCAACTATCCCAGTGAGGAAAGCGCAACCCTGCTGTGTATACATATTACAGTTTTAAACGCGTTCACAGATACACGTAGGCCTTGTATACTTACATACGTTTTTTTTCCTTATACACGATTGTTTTTCTTACATGGTTATGTAAAAAAAAGTGTACTTTGTATTTGATGTCTGTTAGGAAAGTTATCTATCGTCATGATAGATAAAAGTGTAAGAGTTGGTTGTGTAGTGGTGTGTGAAAAAAAATTACTTTTTCGCATCCTGACGCAATTTAAGATTCTTTAATTGTAACAGTAACTGTGCACTTTCCGTAGCGGCGGTATTTTGAATATCTGTTAAATAAGCTAAACGTTTAACTTTGTGAACAATCTCATCCCACTCCAATTCCATCTCACCTGAATTTTTAACAGTTTTCTCAAGATCTGTCACAGTCTCATTTTCAACAGACTGGTTTAATTCTTTCAAGTGTTCCGCATTTTTTAACAAACACAGAAGTTTATTTTTCTCTAACGGTTCATTCGAAACAGTGCTTGCAACACTGTCGTTATTTCTGAAAGCTTCGAGTATCTTTTCAGACTCACCAACGTCAATTTGCAATGTTTTATTCTGATCAAACATTGACAAATTTTCTTCCTCTTTATCAATGACAGAGTCTCTTGCACATGACTCTTGAAAACGTGACGATTTCTCAAATATCTAAAATTAAAAGAAATTTATACATATTTACATTTTTTATTTGCAAATATCTAAAGCAAATATGTGCATATTTTGAATAAAACGAGTAACACATTACCATGTCGTTTTGACATTTTTCCATGTTAGCATTTTCAATATTATGTTCAATACTAAACTCATTATGTAAATCTGAACTGTAAACTGATTCATTATCTTTAAATGAAGAATCCATAGTTTGTACAGAACTGTCGCACAAACGTACAGAACTGTTGGTGCAAAAACTGTTTTCTGACAAGTCAGCTTTGGTATTTAGCGCCACTTGAGGAGTGTTTGCTATTTTCTTTGCAGTTTCTGATATCACTGCAGAGGTAGAACGTGGAAGGCGCACATGTGGCGCTTCATGTATCTATACAATCAATTTAATATTAAAATACCAGTATAAAAGGAAGATACATGTTCAAAAAGTTTAAGTGTATATTTTACCTTATGTTTTGTTTCAAAAGATCCAAGCTCACGCGATGATCCTTCTTCTCTTTCTATGTTTGCCAAACGCTGTCGTTCGACTTGTCTAAATGCAAATCTTTTAGATTTTGATAATCCAGGCATGCTTCGAACAATTTTTTTTTCTGCAGAAACTTTAGCAGGATTATAGCTTGGAGTTTCTGGTTCCTGAAATAGAAGTTATATATAATTTTCAATACACAATAATTTATCAAAGTAAAATTAATAATTTATTTACTAATAATAATAGTTTGAAACTATACAACTAGGTTTTTATTTTGTCTTGTACCTCGTCCCAATTTTCTTCTGACTCAATATTTCCAACTAATGTTGGCAATTTAAGTTCTTTTTCTGAAGGATCTGTATCTCTTACCAATTCTCCTAGTTGTGAACAAGATGCAATATGCTCCTATATATAGAGAGAATAAAAGATATATTATACAAATATAAAATGAGCTTGATATTATGATTAGAATAAATAGAAAAATATTTTGAAGCATTTTATCTATGTTTCAGATACTTATATATATTTTTTTAAAGATAAATAGGATTAACAATGATTTGCATATTATATATTGTACGATATGTTTACATACCTTAAGTTTATCACTTTCTACTATGTGACTCGTTTCCAATGGACATTCCACAAAATCTTCTGTATCAACAGTTTTCTTACATTTTGTTACGTGTTGCATAAATTTTGACCGAGCAATACGATGAGATTTGTTATAGGGACAAGTAAGCATAAGATTAGACTCCATTTGGAATTTTGATCTAAAAGTGAGATTCTTATTCAGCACACAATATAACTTTCTTACATTATGTTTTATTATATTTTTTTATTATTATAATTGTGTATGTTCATCAAATCAAAACTATTAGAAAAATTAATGTGATGAGATATAATTTAAAAAATCCTAGAATAGCAAATAAATTAAGTAAATAGAGCAATTTGAATATTTCTGAAAAAAAGCCTGGAAATAAACAACATAAAGATAGAAAAGATCAATATCCACATTCAGCAGAATCCAGTGCTTTATTATCTGATTGATTTATTCTTCTGAATCTATTGCAAATGTGAAAGCATGTGCCTCAAGGATAAGTAGCAACAAAGCACTGATTACTTAATTCTGCTGAATGCAAAAAATGAGAAAGTAAATAAAAAAATCAGACAATCTAGCGCACAATAAGAACATTTCACAAAAAAATATAAGTTTATCTAACAGCAACTACTTATAATTTGTTTAAAAAACTAAAATAATTTTGTAATATAAAAAAAGTATCAATGTCACACTTGTTGCACAGATTGCAGATAAGATACAGAATGACCATGAAATACATTTGGAATCAGGTGAGGACTTCACCTAAAAAATAAAATGAAATAAAAAAGCAAGCTGAGAACAAAATATCGTATCAAAAAAAACAAACAACACAATCCTGAACAAAGAAAAAGTTGTACTACAAATACAAATCATTTTGATAGTTGCTTTGAAGCAACACAATTTGCAGTTAGAGAAAACATATGGTAAATATGTGAAAACAATCATGGCGATGGTTCAAATAATTTTGTAGTTTACTTTATCTAATCTTAAGTTAAAATATTACTCGTACAAAACCTTTCAGTTTACAGAACAATGTGAATCGTACGAACGACTACTTCAAACTGTCTGACACTGTGAAAACATTTATATTTAAACACAATAGCATATCAGTTTCACAGTTTGAATTACTCCCTGAGTGTGCACGCAAATAAATTACAATAAACAAGCAACCAGGTCAAAATGACATCGCTACCACACAACTTTGTGCCTTGATCTTCACACGTATATATACAAATAATCTACTTCTACACGTATATTGTACGTGAAGATTAAGAAATATTTCGCAAAATTTACCTATTCCCGTTATATTACCGTCTAATTACTCTCGCGCTTTAATTCTTAATTCTTTTAGCCCAATGTCTGATCCTGCCGATGTTGCAATTTCAAACGTGTATAAAGATCGTTCTGCGTTAATTAACCAATTGTGTTGATCGATTAGCCGATCCGATCATTGCGATCAGTCCATTCCACGACCCGCTACTTGCGTTTACGCCTTAAGCCTGTTCTACATTGGATGCGTTCAGACAACTCAACAGTTGCACAACGGTTGAGAGATAATCACTTCTGATTGGATCATACTTTTGGAACCGCAAGCAGATTTTGAAGAATAGTCCTATCACAAGTGACGATCTCTCAACCGTTGAGTTGTCTGAACGCACCCAATGATCGCAAGCGCAAGCGCAAGGAACAGGGTCTGGTAGAATTGACCAATCGTATTGATCAAATCAGCCAATTGACCAGCGTGATTGGTCAATTCTACGAGATCTATTCCTTGCGATCAATGTAGAAACGGGCCTTACGATTAATGTAGAACAGGCTTTAAGCAGAGAGAAACCTGAGAGCGGCCATCCTAATGTAAATTTTTACGACGGTTTCAGCCGCTGGTTTTAGCCGTATTTCCACAAAAGTGGAACTCAAAGGCCGTTCTACATTAAACGCAAGTCGCAGATCTCGTGGAATTGACCAATTGCAGAGTCAAATCAGCCAATCGACCAACGTGATTGATCAGTTCCACGAGACCTGCGACTTGCGTTTAATGTAGAACGGCCTTTGAGTTCCACTTTTGTGGAAATACGGCTAAAACCAGCGGCTGAAACCGTCGTAAAAAATTACTGTAGGATGGCCGCTCTCAGGTTTCTCTCTGCTTTAAGTAACCATCGGTTGCTGGAGCAAACATTATGTTTGGAACGCTGTGTCCACGGTGGTGCACAACGGCAACTACCATATCCACGAGCGGTCTGTCGATGCGGTTCTTTTCCGCGCTAAGTGACCGCTCTCGTCGTCAGCTCTGATGAAAGATTCTTCGATCGCCAATGCGCTCAGTGATGAACATTGTAACTACGGAGCGAACATTTGAAAAGTGAGTGGGTTTCTCTCACACCTTCTGTAAAAAAAACTTATATTATGTAAGAAAAAAATGATTCATCATCTGACACAAGTGTGTTACAGGTATTCTACGTGCTACACATTTCTAATTTATCGCTAAGAAGAGTCGGATGAGACCACGCGGATCGGAGTGTTGCGTGCATCTTGCGTTTTAAAATTTGTATGTTAATCATACAAGTTTAACGCGCGAGAAGACAGTGTTCGGAATCAGAGGACACGGACGCAGGTAGTGTAAAAAAAAAAAATCAAACGCGCCCAGAGGCTTTCTTCATTACACTTCACTCTTTATTTTTCTTTGACTATAGTTTTAACTTGAACTCTTTATACACTCTCATAGCCTAAGTACGTGTAAATACAATAACAGAAATTGATATATATATCGTAAAACTCATTGTATCCCTAACATGGTATTTGCGAACTTCGCTATTCTAATTCATGGAATGATTTATATATATTTAGACTTCATTGCAATTCCGTCGATAATCTTAAGCAGGAATGATAATTTTTTTTTCTTTTTTTTTCGTAAGTCTTACCGCGAGTCACGCAATTTTGTAATCCGTGTAGTTTTTTTTTTTTTTTTTTTTTTTTTCACGCAATATCACAACAAAGCGACATACTTGCACACACATTGAAAATTTGTAAAGTAGATGTTGTAACGTGAGACGTTCATCGTAAAAAATTTTGATTATGATCAAAAAATCGTTAGTCATTAAATCAGCACTTCGAGCTACTCAATAAGATACATTTGTTGCTTCGTCAAATGACACAAAGTTCTCTAAAATGTGGATTTGCTTTTCAGAAAGATGTGTGTCATCAGATAAATTTATATTAAGAAAACAAAAACAGTACAGAGTATGGCTGCGTTCGGGGAGCGCGCTATCAACGCGCTGTCGCACCATTCTATCTTTATTGCTCATTAGATGTAAAAAAAAAAGATAGAATGATACAATAGCGCTGACAACATGCTTCCCGAACGCGGCCTATATATAAAGAGATTAGATAAAATTACAGATAAGATACAAATATAATTATTTTATAAAGAACATATGTCTACCACAAATACTTCGTTTTTTTTTTAGTTATGAAGAAAATAATCTTTTCTTTTATTAAAAATTTGTCTAAGTAACTTCAAACTCAACGACACATAAAACTGTTTATGTTACAATTCACTCAATGTGCGAAATAAATATTTTAAAATACATATGTACAATTCTATATATTGTGGATTTTTATGTAAAAAAAGTCTTCTTATGCATAAATTTAGAAACTGGTTTTAAGAAAGAGTAAACATATGTTTTCACAAAAAAAACGTTACATTATTCGAGCAATATATTTTTAAATGCTGAACAATTATAAACGTATACACACACTTCATTAAATAATATCGAGTACACACACAAATATAACTCGCAATTTATATCATCAATATATGGTAAATTATATCATATGTATCAACAAAACAGTTTTTCAATATTCAAAAACACAGTTTTGTAAGTTTGTACAGATTTATATTAGTGGAAGTCACAAATCCGATCTGCCGCTATCGTTATTAGAATCGATTTGTCTATTGAAGTTAAGTATAAATTTCTTAACGTACTGCAACAAATTTTCCTTTGGATTTACAATTAAATAATTCTTATTTAAGTTTATATATATAGGAATTCATCCACATTTAAAATGTACTCTAATAATTGCACAACTTCAATAAACGATTATTATAATGCCCATATACGATGTACTATTACAGTTGGTTTTGGTGGCATAAAATATTTACGAGCAATTTGAAGTATTTCGAACAATTCTCTTTGAGAAGTCAATTTCTCTTAGCGGAATATACAATAATTCTTCGTATTGATAAATAAATTTAACGTAATAATATCGATATTTATACATATATAGTTCGAGGAACTTTTCTTACAGAATATACAAGTGATGTATAGATTCATAAAATATTTCATGTACAGAAATTCCAACACATACATATATGTGTGTGTGTATGTATGTATGTATGTATGTGTGTATAATATATAGATATATATGTACGCTTGGACGTGTGATGCATTTTTTTAATTTTAGGCACATCGAGCACACACAGCAATATGATAATATACACAATACGTCTTAGTTATAAGAGCATAGTTACACTTTTTATATATATTTTTCTTCCAATATATAATAGTATAAATTAAACACACACATGATAACAGTTGTATGACTTGATTGAGTTATAGCATACAGCAGAATTTGTATACATATATGTATATATATATAATTAAATATAATTAACACTTTATAAAATATTTATTCTATTTTTTTTTTAATCTAATATTTTCTCACACATGTAGATTTGATTACTACTAATACTATAACGTTATACAATATATACTTTATCATATCTCACTGATATTTGTACCATAAAAATTATTAGAAAATACACAAATTTGATTATTTTTTCAATGATAATTCAATGATATAGGTTTATATAAATAGTGATAAATTTTATATAACACAAGTAATAACGGTCGTTAAAAAGTAATGATAAAAAACCGTTACTATCTTATCTTTCAAAAATCAAAGTTTGTTATATACTTTGCAACATGTTTATATAATATACTTTTTTACTAATTATGGCATTTGTTTATGATAAGAATATTTTTTTTTAATACGCTTTCTTTGTAGAACTTTATCACCGTTTTTTTTGGGAGGGGATCCTTGATATTACTTAAAATATATACATATGTGTTATATATATATATTTTACATATTTATGTAAAGCTTTTAAATGTATGTTGAATCTTTATAATTATATATGTATATGTATAAATATAATATTACAATATATATTCTTCAAAAGTTAATAATCTGTGATATTAACAATTTATATAGCAGAATTTTTTCAAAGTTTATTATCTCACTGAGCCAATATAGGCATTGTATATATTATGCTCACATGTTGTAATTAGTGCAGCAAAATAAACAATGTAACATCAAAAGCTACGATATATTCATCATGTATGTATCCAAAATATTATATTAACGGTATATACTGTATATTATATGAGAATATGAGGCAGTATAATACCAAAGACTTTACTTATTTTGTAACACATGTGTGTTATAGCGGTAATATATATTTTTTATTTCGCTGATAACAGTAATCTTTAGCACATTTTGTACATTTTGTGTAAAAGCTCTGATTTCCCAATCAGAGAGTAGCGTATATATCGTAAATAAGATTTTTTCAAATCTTTCAATAACTTTTTAAAAATTAGTATATAATTTATACGTATATAAATATGCGCTCCAATAACTAAGACATAATTATGTATATGTGTATAAACATGCTCAAGTGTACAAATATATAGATTTATTTGTTAAATGTATATATATATGTGTGTGTATATATATGTGTATATACGTACATATATATATATATATATAATATATACACATACATACGTACATATATATATACATATATATATATATATCTTTAGATCTCTCTATATATTTTTATATATAATATATATAACACGATACAACAAATACTGTTTAGGTGTATCTTAAGGCACTCGTGCGAATAAATTCTAAATATTTGGAACAAATAAAGAAAAACAAAGACTCTAAGTAACAATTCGTAAACTTACATTTAACTTCTCCATTTAAAATTGGTCCAGAACTAGAATTGATTGAAAAACACTTTCACTCTGACGTTGAACTTCGTAAAATAAATTATGATAGCGTGAGAAACGATTGTCCAATATAATTTATATAGGTAACCCTGTATTAATATGTAACGTCTTCACTGTAGCCTCTTTTAACAAGTAATAATATTATCTATTTTCCATCCCTGTCTAAAAAACCAGGAACTAATAGTTTTAAGGAATTATTCTATCCTCAAGAACACGTCTTCACACTTTAATTAAAATTTATAGTGCAAACACTGTTTCTAACTCCGCATCTTTCCCCCCACTAGTACACATATAGTCAGTACATACAATTAAATACGGTTTAAATACTAGTTTAAACCAAGTGCAAAATACGTGAAAATAGCATAAAACTATCATCGAAATATGTAAAATCTGTATTAAACGAGATTTAGAATTTGATATACGAGGAGCATCACTATCCACAACAACACACACAAGTGCTTGAACACCGTGCATGTTAAGAAACACATAACGCGTATTGTTCAATTTAGATCATCAACAAAGAAATCATATTGTAGATTGAGATTGGTTTCAATTTGCTCACTTTAAATTTCTCTAACAATAATATCACGATTTTAACTTTAATAGATCTGTGGTATGGCAATATGCATTTATATTATTCTATATTCTCATCATTTTGTTTAGTGTAATACTCTCTCTGGATGCAGAGAGATCCGTCTTTTAATTTTTTTCTTCCACAGTTTTTATCAATTGCAGTATGAGCTATGAGACATTTGTTTCTTTGCGCAATCCACAACATAGTTTCAATAGATGTAACAAGAAAATGACAATATCATAATTATCAGACATTTTTCAGTGACGAATATATATTAAAAGTTATATATTTTATATATAACTTTTTGTTTTTAACGTCACACGTTTAAATATATTACACATTTAAAATCTATAACATCGATAAAATATTACAAATAAAATAACACCGATAAAATATTTATAAATAAAATGTAGTGAATAATCCATATATAACTTTGTAAAAGAAACATTTAACACTATAATAAATTTAATTACTTCAAGTGTGCATTTAACATTAACGCACGCGGTGAAAATTTGTCGCAAGTACACATATCTTGTAACAAATTTTTACATATACCCACGCATACGTAAATCGCGAACAGGTCTGTTTAAGTAAATTTTTAACGCAAAATATATAACCCTCTTGTATCCCATAGCTCGGATTCTTTTACATATATAGATCTATTTATATAATATAGGAATGTCTCTCTCATTCTTTTGCGTACATTATGTTTCTAATAATTTTCCATTATTACAAACACAATGTCGCTTATCGATAAAACATATTTTTACATTTTTTGTTTCATAACCGTATACGTTTCATATGCTATTATAACGTTGCCAGTATACACATCTTTGCAAACTGGAATGATAAATATAATTATATGTATTCATATATTATACGCGTATGTGTGTATATATATGTAATTATATAATATATATTATATATATAGTGTATATATATATATGTGTGTATATATATATATAGTCTCTCTTTATAAATAAAACTTCGCAATGAGCACATTCAGTGGTTGAATCACTCGTAAAACTTTGTACAAATAAAAGATCAGAGAGAAAAAGAGAGTCCTTCTTTTCAAAAGTGTAAGTAATATATAATATATATATATATCTCTCTCTCTTTCTACCTCTCTTTCTTGAACGTGTGTATATTAGTCAGCTTTACTAAAGTCTTTGGCTAAATATCTAATCTTGCGAGCTAGAATTGGTTTTCCGGTAACTCTCTGTTAATGATGACAGTCATCAGATGACGTAGCTAAATCAGCAAACTTTTTTTTAAAGCGTTTGTTACCTAGCAATTAAAATTGCGATGATGACACCATTAACAGTAGCAACTATCAATCATGTACGGTGTTTAGCTGCGAAATTATTCGTTATCATCTTTCGTTTGTCGCCAAAAATAATTTTTTTTTTTTTATTTTTTTTTTAAAAACGATCGCACTGTAAGCCGTTATTATGATCACAGTAACTGTGTGTAAGCTTAATTCAAATAACTTACGAGATTATTTATCATTCTCCTTCTTAGGACTTTGCTGTGCACGGTCGTAACATTTTGTGATATCCTAAGAAAAGCAAAGAGAATGCGTATGATATAAAAAAACTATTATATATTTCGTTGAAGAAAAGTGCAACGTACCTGTACCGCGATTTGTAACGGTGTTAATTCCCCAACGGAGCAGTCATTTCGCACAACATTTGCGGGTGGTAGTCTGGGACAAGGCTTCCCCGTGAACAGCATAAACAGCGCATGAATACTTCGACGTTGTGTCAATTCTATGTGACGGTGTTGGTAGCCATCGAGATGCCGTCGATGCCGCGACGTGGTAGGGAACCATCTTTCGCATAGATTACAGTACCGTCTGTGCCTTATTGTTGCCTGGCAAGCGATCAAAAAAGAAAAGCGAAAGTGAAGAGGAATACAAGAAAAAAATACAAAATAGAACATCATCTCCTTTCTCTCTCTCTCTCTCTCGCTTTTCCTTACCTTTTCGTGATAAGCTAATTGAGTTATAAAATCAGCGACGGACATGTCGCCTTTTTTGTTGTGAGGATCTTTCGCGTCGCTTTCAACCTTATTGTCCGAAGTTATGACATTGTCGTCTATCAGTTTGGATTCCGCTATATCGAGATCGTCGCTATCGTGAATCGTGATCACCGGCGGTGATCTGGAAGTGTCTCTGTCCGTGCTCGTGTCGAAATTCACGTCAACCTCGGGTTCCAATATCGGCATGTTGTCTTCCTTCGTTGTCTTAATTTCCTTCGCGTTAGCGCTAACATCGCTTTCCTGATGTGTCGATTTCGATATCTTGGGAATTTTGTAAGACGACAACTTGTTGTTCTCCTTCTGTGATATATTTTGCGACTGAGAAACACTCAGGGTTTGGTCCTCCGTATCTTGCTTTCTCTTCTCGTTCTGATTTACAGCGCGATTCTCGTTCGACGCGGTTTGGCTAAATCGTTTAACCGCCTTCAAGGATATCGTGGTGTACTCGCACGTCCTTTTCGTCATCTCTTTGGAATCTGCTCTCTCGCTCTTTTCGTGCGGTTTCAATTTTTTTCTTACCAAGGAACTTTTGCTTTGTTTGGAACATTCCTTGTCAGACTTCTTCTCAACGTTAGACGTGGTCTCAATCCTGCTGGGTTTACTGGCCGCGGATATGCAACTTCTCGCAACGTCGCTGCAAGAACCCCGGGAAACTTCGCTTGATTTAGAATCCGAAAGACTGTTGAGATCAAAACTCAATCCCTGTTTCTTCTCCGCGGCTGTCTTCGGTCTCGGGGCGGTGCTCTTCGCACCGCTTTCGCATTTAGATAATGAAAGGCACTTCTTCAAGGCCTCCTTAGCGGCCAGAACTTCTTTTACCAACGAGTCGTTGCAGCAGAAATTTTCCTTCGTCGCGATTAAATCCGATGTCTCGCACGGAGCTTTCGACGAGACGTCTCTGACAGAACCAGTCGGATTGTCGTGCGATGTGGATTTGTCATCTTCATTAACGTCAATGGTCGCGGTGTATTTTTCTCTTTCAACTGAATTCCTGTTGCGTAACGAAGATTCAGATTTGTTGTAACGCCCCGCTTTCCAAGTTTGATCGTTGACGGACTCCTCGGTGGATTGGCGACGTGAACCGTGACACAATATAGGATCGAGCTTCGGCATGGGTACGTCCAGCAGATCGATGTTACTGTTGTCCGTGATCTCCAATTCCAATTCGAATTGGGTCGGAATCGCATCGGCCGAGTACAACTGCTCGTTGTCACCATCCTCGATCACGTGATCCTCCAGATCGTCACGATCGTCGTCCGGAGAAGCCGGAAGAATTTCTATCGTCGATTGACTCTCGTCCGAGGATTCGATTTTAATGACAGTGTTGTCCGTCTCGAAATTGTCTTCTTGCTCCAACGTAACGGGAGTGTCTTTGAGCGAACAAACATCGCTCTGCAACGTGCAGTCGTCGTTGTCATCGATATCGCTGATGCTCAATCGCTCCTTCTTTATCACAATTTTACTCTTCTCTTTGCTCGATAAAGAATTGTTATCTTGTTCCTTCTTCTTCTTGTCGATTCGCAGATCGACTCCTTCCGAAGATATCTCCTTAGGCAATTTCACGAAACAGCTTTCCGCACCGGACGTTTCCCTCGACGCGATTTTGAAACTCGCCGAATCACTCGGACGTTCGGCAGAAACATTCTTCTGACCAAGATCGCTCGGGATCGTTGTATCCGTTTTCGTAACCTGCTCGCTTCTGCTCTTGCGTTCGTCGTGTTGCGAAACAGACGGAGTCAATTTAAACGACCGATTGCCGTCGTTGTCAAATGAAGTGACATCCGTTTCCGTTTGCGAATTGTCATCACGAGACCTTGATCTTTGAGGTTTGTTCTTGTTTTGGCACTCGTCGGTCGATTTGCCACAGCTTTTCGAAGACGCGTTCTTCTTCGGCGAGATATACGTCTTGTCGTTGGAATTCGCGTTCCACGACGACGACGCGGGATTGGGTTTCAACGTGCCGTCGCTGCTTTTTCTGTAGTCGTAATCCGACATTCTTCTCTGCTTGTTGCGCTTAGCCGGAATCAGATTCGACGTCGAGCTCGATCTGGACAATCTGTGATCATCTTCCTCCTCCCGACGATGATCGTCCTTGCGATTGGCAAATATCTTCTCTACAGCTCGCAGCGACACGGGAGACAGAGTTAGTTTCAAATCCTTGATCATGCTGTCCAGACTTCGATATCTCTCCAGTTTAACTTCCGGTTGCCACTTGGCGCTCTTCGCTATGATCTTCTTGCAATCCTTGCTCAGTTCGCATCTGAATTCGGCGCTGGCCGACGTTCTCTTGATAATGACTTTAGGAATTTTCTCGGATATGCAAACCAAGGGATTCTTCTTTGCCTCGGCGGACGCCTCGGCGCTTCGTATCGAATCCGACGAGTTGCTACGTCTCGCGGAATGACCGGTCTCGTCGCGTCCTCCCGCTTTCTTGTATTTTTTGCTCGGCACTTCCGAATTACTCGAACTCGATCTTTTTCGCGTCAATTCCGGCGACGACGATCTGTTTCTCTCTTGCTTCCTCAGCTTCAATATCGGTATCTTTTCCTCGTGTCTTCTCGAAGATTCCTGAGACGACGATTTGCAAACCGAACCGTCCGACGACAAATCCGTCCTCGACGAATTCTTTATCCTCATCTTTGGTATAGTTTTCTTGGCGTTTTTGCGTCTCGCGCAAATATCCTCGTCGCTCTCGTCAGCTCTCACTATCTTACTAGAGTGTTTCTCATCCAATTTGATCTTCATTTTGGGAATCTTGTTTCTGTAACCTACGTCCTGAAGAGAACTCTCGGATTCGTTCCCGTACTGTTCCTCATTCGCGAGCAAATTTCGATCCTGGATGTTTGTTTGAGTGTCATCGCGAACGGCTTCTATCGACGGCGTGCCAGGACGCGAACTCGCGTTTCTTATAATCATCTTGGGTATTTTCGGTTGATGACCGGGACTCGATATTGACTTGTGATCCATCTGAGCGGAGGAACTAATCTTCGTAACGAATTTCGAACTGGCCTCGTTTTTCTTTATGACAAGTTTGGGAACCATCTTTGTGTTGGCGTTGCAATCTGTCGCGCGTAAATACGTTAATTTGTCGTAACCGCTACTGGAAGAAACTTGATTCCTGACCTCGTCGTCGTTCGGTGTTTTATCGGACTCTTCAATTGCCGACGATACTTCGATCGCAACCGGTTTTTCTACTAACGCTGACGCGACCGCCTCGTCGTTAATCGATTTGTCTTCTTCGAGTTCGGCGATCGTTTCCGAAACTCGAAGTTCTTTGACGGTGTTCTGCAGTGTTCTTGAAATAGACAAATTGTCCAAAAGCGAGTTGTCCTGTAACGAAGTGGTCACGCCTACGAAATCGATCGACGTGTCGTCAATGCCGCACAGACGATTGACTGCGTCCTCTTGAATACGACTCGTTTCCCACTTCATCAACACCATGCTGTCGTCCTCGTTGAATTCGCGCATCAGATCATTCGCACATCTGTCTTCCGTAAATATCCCGCAATCGGACGAGTCCATGCACAATAACTTGGAATCGATCGGGCTGTCGTTCCGATCTTTGGAATTGTTATCTCGTTCGAGTTCTTCTTGACAATGCTTCTTGTCGGATTTGATGACACTTTTGACCACAGTGAACTCCGATATATTTTGCTCGCGTTTCTCATCAGCAAACAAATCGCACACGTTCTCAATATTCACCGGTTTGCCGGATATTATTGCGGAATCGCAGTTGTTGTCCGCTTGTTGGTTCTCGTTTCCACGATCGTTCAACGAGATCTTGGTTATCTGTTTCTCGTTTTCGAACGTTCGCGATTGTTGCTGCTCGTTGCTTTCCTCGTCGAGCGATCGATTCGCGACGTTACCTAGATTTTGCGAGACAATTGTTTGTTCCTTATCACGCGAGTCGATTTCTTTATCCAATTCCGTCCGATCAATTTCGTTTGAAACAATCGGTTCGGACAAATCTTCTTCCTTGCTCTTGCAATCGCTCGCAGCTGTAACTTCATGGCACAAAGTTTCCCGACTCATCGCGGGTTCTAAATTATCATCTTTCGCGACATCATCTCCGATTTCGTCATCTTGTTCGCGAACACCAAGCGCAGATTGTTCCGCTGTCTTTTTACATTCTTCTTCTGCGTCAAACGAATCTTTAGGATCGGCGCTTGGTTCGAACGGATTTGCAACCTTGATTGAATTCTCATCCGAAGCTCGTTGTTCCGCGTCTTCGACGTTGTTTTCCTTTGGAGTGCAACAAACGCGCGCGTCATCTTCCATCGGACGATCTTCATTCTTGTCGTTGATGTCCGCAAGACACCGATCTCTCTCCGAATCAATATTCTCATTCGCGATATTCTCGGGAGAACGAGATCGTCTCGCCTCTTTGGCAAATAAAATCGCGCTACGTTGAATTTCATCAGATTGAGATTCCTTTCGTTTTTCCGTACGTTCGTTGTTTTCTTGCGGAATTGATGACGCGTCAGTTGCTGACTTGGCATCAACATCTGCCACCATCGAATCGTCGTTCTTGTTGTTTTCATTGTTTTGCTCCTCGTGCGAAATAATATTCGATTGTTCGTATTGCAAATTGTCGTCGCGAACCAAAGGTTGCGATCTGTCGCGGTGCAACGTCGGTTCGTTCAAATCGGTTCTATGATTTTCGTTACTTCGTTCCGCGGACAGAAATGAGAACGTGTCCAAACGTTTCTGGGCGAATATCTCATTGAAATTCAGTTCTTTGAGATTATCGCTGTTTCTCCTGTCGATGTGAGACGAGTAAGATTTGATCGATTCCATGGTCTCGTCCCAGCACCCGGCCCTTGGACTCAAGAACAAATTTGAATCGAACACGGAGAGATTATCGCCGTATCTCTTTCCGCATTCCAAATTGTCCGCGAACACTTTCGTCTTAAAGTGTTGTTTCGAACTGGACGCGGTTTCGCTATCCAAGTTGTATTGTTTCTCGAGGAAGCTCAAATCGATGATATTTTTTCTATTACCTTCTTTGGTTTCTTGCTGACTGCTCTTGCTTGTGTACAATTTGTCCGCGTCGTCGTTGAAGAATTCTAAATGCGACGTGCCGCGAAATTTGCAATGACCGCTTTTGTGAGCGGTAATCTTAGACATAATCGGATAATCGGTGTGTTTCGTCGCGGACGGCTTAGCGTCGACGGAACAGTCGGTCTCACGTTTTCTATCGTCGCGACTTCTCTTGAACAGTTTTCGCAATTTGAAACAATTGTGATAAAGCGAAGATCTCGCGAAATACGATTCGCGGGTGTGGCGATCCTCTTTCGCTCGCGCCTCCTTGAGTAATTCGCGATAAGTAAATCGGGGATTAGGACTGTAAGTTATCTTTCCGTCTTTGGTAGTGTAAACAGGAACTGTATTGAGATTCTCCAGCTTGTCCGCGCTGAAGAAGGATGGATTCACGTAACCGCTTGGGGTTTTGTACTGATCGAACTTGTCGAATCTGTCGTCGTCTCTCTTGGATCGTTTCCATCTGTCGGCGACACGCTTGTCGTTGGTGTCGATCGCATCGCTTTCGTTCGGAGCAACGTCGAAGTGATCGTAATCGAAATGCGCGGCAGCATTGTTGCACGCGCCAACTTCCATATTCGCCGCGCTCGAAGAAGTTGACGGAATCGCGCTCAAACGAGACGCGATATCGTCTTGGGAGTTTCTTCTGCAAAATGAAGGAATCATTTCTTGATGTTCCTTCTTTTGTACATTTTTCGACGTTGAACTGTCCGAAGGGATCAACAATTCTTCGCAGGAGTTGGTAATCTTTCTTTCTGGATCTTGATGAACGCTTTTTCTTCTGACCGCCGCTTGCTCTGATCTCGACATCTCCAAGCAACTCGGCGTCGATTCGGTTTTTGCGTTGATGTTACCTGAAAAACAAAATATAAACTTTATAAAAATGTACAAACGCGCATTTTTGTTTATTATCATTAATTTTGTCTGAATTTTCAAAAACGTACCGTTGTCCTCACTCATCGACTTCTGTTCCGACGATAGGCTTCGTCTCTTCCTAGAGATGAGCGAGGTGGACGTTTCGTCGCTCGTTGTTGCGCCTTCCTTGCGCGTCGCCAATTTGTGTTTCGTCTCATCCTCCGTGCAGCTCTGATCTTCGACAACGCTGTTGCGCACAGGTTCAACTTCCGTTGAAGCTGACGAGGATTCGATTCCGTGTCTCTCGTAATCGCGACAGTCCGCGTTGTCGCGAATTAACTTCTTGTCGCACGGAATTTCTGTTATACACATCGAGTTGGATCTGGCGCTCCCGTTCGATATGGAACCGGTCAGATGGCCGATCGTTTCGGCAACAGCGTTCTTGATATTCTCGTGCAGCAGCTTCTCCGTGGTGTTACGTTCCGTGCACGAGACGTTTATCTCAATCTTTATCCCATCGAGAGAACTGTTGTTCTTTACTTTATCTCCGAAATAACGCGATTCCTTCTGATCATTGTCCTTGTTACCCTTGAGTTTTAAATTGACATTTCTAACTTGAATGGCGACGTCGGGATTAACATTTTTCGTCACCAATGTTCTCAGAACGTTCGCGCGATTCCTCTCCTCTTCATCGGACACCTTGAGCATTATCGTATCTTTTTGACACAAATGTTTGTCGTTCGACGACCGCGACACGACCGATCGTTCGTTGAAACTCGATGACGGATGATGACATTTCTTGCTCGCCGCACATTCGCCGGACGCTTCTTGCGGGTCTTTGGTCTGAGCGTCGCCGCCGCCGCCGCTTGGTTTCGACTTTATTCTCCTGTACTCTTTCAGAAGTCGCATCCTTTCCGCGGCGTCGTCGATGCGAACGTTACCGATCACTTTTGGCTTGTTGTCGCGCGACGAATCGGATCCCCCGACTCCTATTTCGACGTCCTTGCGCGATTCCAATTCTTGACCAAGTTTGTTGCGACGTATTTTTTCACCGAGATTTTCCGTCTTGTCGGACACACATCTTTTATTGGCGAAAACAACATCCGCTTGATCCTTCGACTTCTTGGAATCGTCGCGCTTCAAGTGTCGAAATTGTTTCGAATCGAATTTCGCATTTTCAACGTTCGCCGATTTGTTAACGTCTTTCTTCGAAAGAGAATCTTCCTCCCTCGAAAATTTATCGCTCGCAGACGCATCGTATTGTTTTATCTTATCGCCGTTTAAAGTCGAATGTTTTGCGTTACGACTCGTCGGCGTCGTTAATAGATCACTTTCATAACTTTTCGTCGAACAACTATCTCCCTGAGTTCTGGAATTTCCCGCGGTTTTGTTGTTCGTCGACGACGATAAGCTTATCGCGTTCGGATTTGTTTGACGAGTCATTTCCGTCGGAATACATTTTTCGGAATATATTATTTCGCTCTCGTTGCCGTCCAGTTCCGCGGGATTCGAATTGCTCGTTATGTTCTGCAACGCGTTTTCCAATTCGATCGAGTCGCTGTAACGAAATTTGCTAACTTTCGAGCTCGCTTCGGAAAGTGTTTGCGAATTCATCCGAATTAACGAAGCGTCGCGATGCGTCACGTCAATTTGAGATTCATCGACGCACTTGTCGTTGTTCGTTGTTGTATTTTTATAATTTTTCAACGCGGACGTGATTGTCGACGCCGACACGATCTGCAATTCATATTCGCCGGAAGTCAAAGTCACGCGCATATCCGCGACCTCGCTGTTGGTTTTCATTTCGTCGTCCAGAGAAAACGTTTTCTCATTAGTATTCGCGACGTCTCCGCGCGCGTAATGCGCGCCGCCAGTTTTCGTGGCGCAATTGTTTTTGTCGTTGCTCGTAGAAAATTCAAACGTATCGAGCACAGCGTCCCGATCGAGCGCGTTGTTGCTGCTCTCGTCGTTCTTAAATCGATTCTCTCCTCGATATTCGTCATCGTCACCCAACGGACCAGTCGACGACTTGATCTTCGCGGTTTTCTCCTCGCTCAAGTGATCGTAGAGACCTTCCTTCGCTGACGACTGCGTGAAACTGATTATGGGACTGTTCTGCATAATTTCTATCGGATTCGTCGATATCGTGAGATCCTGAACCCGTTCCGACGACTCCTCGTTGTCGGAATGAATGGGAGTGTTCAGCGTGGTCGAGATCGGCGTGCATTCCGACGTGGGCAAGTCCGGCAAACTGATGTCGTCCGGATTGTGAGATTCCTCGCTCGTGAAACTGCTCTGCTTCTTCAGATTCATATCCTGAGCAGGATCCGAATTGTCTTTCATAGATCCAGATAATGTAACCATCTTTTGAACATTTGCCTGTGACGTTTGCTGTGACGTAGTCTCCGCTGCTTCAACGGGAGATGGACTTTCGACGATGTATTTCTCTTTGTTCGAAGTTTTGTCGTTATCGTTGTTGTATTCGGTCGCGTTAGCCGATTCGTTGTTGTTACCCGTCTTGAGTTTGTCGGTTTCGAGCGTTATCGCGCCCGGACCCGTCTCGGTCTCCGTTCCCTCTTGAAAGAACGCGTTTTGTCTCTCCAAAGCTTCGCCGACCTGGCCGTTGGTCACCTGCAAGATGCTGCCTATTTCCAGATTGTCGACTATGTGTATGGTCGGCACCTCGTCAGGCCCGTTGCTGATGCACTGTATGATGTGACCGCCAGTTCGCACAATACCCTCTTTTGTTATATTCTTGCAGGCGGGATCTTTCGCGATCTCGACATTCTCCGCGGTCGAGTACGATATCGTCAGACAGTCCTGCGCGGGTAACACGCCCGCGTTGGTCTTATCCTGACTCTCGAACGTTATAACACCCGAGGCTATCTCTTCCGGTTTGGAAACCTCCAGACCTTCCAACGTTTTCGTCGACAGGTTCACGTTCTCGTAACCCACGACCACAACAGGTGTCGAGTCGGTCAGAACAGCGTGAGGCAAGGCGGTGCTCGTGCCATCCTCGTCCTCGGATTCGTCCCAATTGGCCAGAAATTGTCGCACATCCAACTCCGGCTTGTCGGGAAATTCTTTGGTCATTTTGTGCTGCACAACCGCTTCGCTCGCGCTCGCGTCCAGATTACCGAAGCTCTCGCTGCCTCCAGTTGGTTTTTGCACTTCGAATTGATTCTGATCGAGACCTTTTTGAGCGGGATATCGATCCTGCTTCTGAACACCGTCCGGGCACATAGTTATCGCGTGACCTACGTGCTGTTGCGAAACCAACTGTTCCGGTTGTTTCTGAACGTTGTGGCTCGCCATTTCGGGAACATTGTTGCCGTCCGGTTTGTTGCCTTGCTTGTCCATCGAGACGTCCATCGGCGCTTGCGTATTCATAACTTGTTGCATTCTGGAGAAAGCCTCGGGTATGTAGTTGGAATTGATCAAAACGCCATTTTGATCAAATTGCAGATTTATAGACGGGACGGTAGTTGTGGTGGCGTTTGACGTAGCGGCAACGCACGAAGAGGTCTGCTGCATCTGGCCTTGATACGTGACAGACTGTTGCAACTTCAATATTTCCCTATACTTCTGAATATATTCCTTGTACTTTGGGTGCGACTGATATCCGGGTATTCTCGACAACTCCCTGAGATCGTTTTCCATCGAGAATTTCTGCATAGCTATCTTCTGTTGATACATCTGATACCGCGAAGGTGCGTGCACGCTCGACGCCTGCATTCTGTTAACCATGGATACGTTATCGGCAGTCTCTTGACAGTCGTGTGTGATGTCCGTCGGCAAATTTCTCGGATACTGCGAATTGAAGTAATTATTCTGCGCGGATGGAATCATACTCGGATTCGGAACGTTCGTGGACGGCATGCTGCCCGGCATCACACCGGCGTTGCTCTGATACGCTACTTGTTTGCTGTTGTACTTTTGTTGCGGCATTGCGAAACCTTGCTCCTGATGTTTCACCATTGTCTGACTCGGCGGCACGTTCATACCGCTTACCTTAGAATAATCTTTAATGTTGTAAGGATACTTCTGATAGTCCCCTGCGTTGTAATTATAATTCTGCACAGGATAGTTCTGCAACATGCTCGACGAAGACGGATAGTTACGCATCAGACGGTCCTTGCGATATTTGAAATCGGTGAGGTTCCTCCGATGATCCGTATTAGGCGCATTGGGTGGTGGTACTATAGGCGGCAGAACTTCCTTGCCGTCGAAATTATCCTTCCTAAAGCTGAAGTCAGTTCCGAACGCTCGTCGAGTATCGGTTTGATAACCGGCGGACGAGCGAATATTTTCTCTGTAAGCTGTGTTGTTCTGATAGGAGCAATACTTTTCCCACTGTTGGTAGCTTATGTTCGGATCTGGATTGCAACACAATCCCTTGCAAGGAACGAAAGACGGTGGCGGACCTGTTCTGTTGGTGTGCGAATTAACATTGGTGTTTCGTTGCATGGACGCGTGAGACGCGTTCATATTCATCATATTCGGTCCATTCAGATGTGATATAGGCCCGTTTAAAGGCACCTGATTGTTTCTATAGCTCAGTTCATCGTTTAGATTACTTATCGCGGTGTTTCTTGGATCCATAGGACCATTTAGATTATCCACCATGGGATTTCTCGTATTCGAGGATCCGTAGTGGCCAATGCAGTTTTGCATTTGTACCATTGACGCCAATGGAGTATTGTCGGTGGCATTGTGGCCGTGTGTAATGTTACTCGATATATGTGGCTGAAAATGTCTTGGATTAAAATTAGGATCGTTCTGATGCTTCTCCAATCCCTCTGAGCTGATATTCAGCTGTGTCGGACAGGTGGGACTAATACTGGAAATGAAAGATAAGTGTCCAGAATTGACATTTTGAGCAGTAGATGTTATGTTGTTTATTCCAGATTGTTGGGGATTATACTGATGCCAATCCGGCATATTTCCACTGTAGTTCATTGTACATTATTTTGTTTTGATTACATAATTCTCTTTATCCACCGAGATGTGTCCAGATATTTATATTAGAGCAGGAAACTACCTAAGGGAAAACAAAATTATTTATTTTTACAATGTGTTTTTTTTTAATTGCGAAATAAATAAATAAAAAAATACCCTAACATATAATCTTAACATTTATTTTAAAAAATAAATACACTTTATATTTATTGAGATCATATTATTTCCTCACATATGTCAGTGACACACAAGTTTTTCTTGAATAATTGAAATGTTGCAAAGATAGTTGCAAAACTTAGAATAACTTAAGTGCCAGAATTTTAATTACAAATTGTTTTTGTCTTTGTTAAAATTCACGCAACGCATACCTGAAATAAGTGTGACCTAGATATATTTCACATCTTTTCAGCATACAAATACTATGCTTATCAGTACGTATGGCCGTATGTGCGTCTTCATTTTATTACGCAAATAATCCCATAATGTTATATCCGCGACGTCGCTCTTTGTCGCGCTGTGAAATCGAATTTTGAACGCGAATGATGTCGACGAAAACGCCAATTCATCGAGCCGACGTTAACGGAAGACTGAAGCGAACCGAGGTTGGCGAATCTTTTGCGTATAAATGATAAGTACACCCCTCCAAGACTACATAACAGGTGACACCATGTTTGACGGAGCGGTGGCCATCATGTTACAGTTAGCCTAAATCGCGAAACAAGCGCGGTGTTTATCTTCAACTTGCGTTAGTATTATACTGTCACTCGTTAGCGCAACGTGGATTTCGCGCACGGGTAACGGTGCAAATTTTACACGACCGCGTACCCGCCAGTGAAAACGTACCTTGCGGCTTGGACCTTGAAAGGTTCTACGACTGACACGCACGGGTTCCCCGGATATATCGCGCACCAACCGCGTTATCATAAATAATAATGCCCGTGACAGCGCGTGATCGCGCACATATGCCAATATTGTCAGCGCGAGAAGACGCTTCGTCTCATCCCGATCGGAGAGCCAATCGCTAACAGCCGTACGCGTTACGCACGCACCAAGCTTACCTGCACATTAACATCGCTCACAACACGCACGCCATATTGGACACGACTGCTGCTTTGCGAAAAAAAAAAAACATATCAGGTCTGTTCTTTTTACCTGAACTAGGGCCGCGCTAGTTCAGAGTTTATCTTCTTTACTCTACGTTGGAAAAAGAAGGATAAATTCTGAACTAGTGCAGCCAGTTCAGGGTAAAAAGAACAGACTTATCATGCGCCCTCTGCAACTGAGAGGTGTGCTTTGTCGTAGGTCGTGGTGTGTGTGTGTGTGTGCGTGTGTGTCATTCGTGCGTATGGCGCACGATCCAATATACACATATACGTAGGGTTTGTAGATATGCGCTCGCAATTGAGCCATGTGCGATGGCGAATGCGTACGTGGATATGTACTTAGCGTGTGTGTGTGTGTGTATGTACGCACTTACAGCAAATACTTATGTATATAAACCTGCGACGCTCTAATCGTCTTATACCTGGCTTAATATAGTCGCACTGTGCAAAACACTTGGCTTGCTGCTGATGAGGCAGTCGCACATAAAGAAAAGTTTTGTTATGAATTTCTAATACGTTCGGTTCGAGTTTCATTTAGACTTTTAATTTAGAACTTTGATTATACTACATATTTCATGAATTTAATTAATATCAAATCCAACAAATTTGCACATAATAGCGTAAATAATAATATAAAACTTTTTTTGTATTTAAAAATAAAAAAGACACGCGTATGTTCAAGACGCGTATCGGTACTTAATTAGGTGTTTTTTTTTTTTTTTTTTAATTTGTTCTCTACTTATAAATACGGATACAAACATATTTAGTCTCTACGCTTATAATTAAAGTTTCGATTTATTTATTATAAGGAATAGGATACACACACAACACTGCCATATATGTACGTAATTTACATTTACGGTATAAACTTTATGTATTTCATAAAGTTAATTATTAACTATCGTTAATTAATCTATGCATAAATATTAAAACTGAGTAGATTCAAAAACATTGCGATCCGTGTACACATAAAAAAAAAATATACCAAAAATAGAAAAATCTACTAGTCTTTCTAATGTAATATGTAGTATATGTCCACAAGCGCTTAATTTGCACACTTTGTTTTATGTTACGAAATAAATATGATTTACATCATTAAAAGTCAACAAACTTTACTAGCCTTTGTTTTTAGGAGAAAAATAGCTTTTTTTTGTTTTTGTTTAAATATAAAAGCTTATTGCGTGCTATATACTAATTACAAACGGTAAAAGTATCAAGTCGTAGAAGGTATTAATATATACAATGAGATCTATGTAACGTAAAATATATATATATGGATAAATATATATACATATATATTTGTGTAATTATTTTCAAGTGTAAAAATTAGGGATTGTTTTTTTTTTAGAAAAAGTAAATTTTTACTGATTGCTCTATAAATTATAATATTTGATATTGTCCTCGATGGTTTTCAGAATATCTCAAGGATTTAAATTCAATTTGACAGCCTCTTGTCGTATCACAGAGATTAGTTCTTGATTGATTAAAAATATAAACCTCAATCCCGCAATCTGTAAGAAACACACAAAGAAATTGCGATGAGATTTGAAATCATACTGTGAATTACACAATTTTGTATGTTCGGTAAAGTACCTCGATCACACTATTGTTATTTAGTTTCATTTTATTTCCAGCCAGAATTGGTCTGCTATCCACAAAAATCGGTCGTTTTCCTTCGGACGATAAAAAAAAGTCTCCATTGTTCCTCAAACGGATGGTGCCCTGTCGACGTGAAACTTTCCAAGCTGGACCTTCCAAACTGAGATCCACATCGACAGCGTGATCTTTTGTACAACGTCCTACACTTATCTACGTAAAAAAAACAAACAAGATGATTTATGTTGTTTTCAAGCGATGTTTATGTATAAAACATGAAAACGTTCTGTCTTACCTCTCTAGATCTCATGAGGTATCTTACAAGCCTTCCTCGTAAAATGGCTAAAGTCTGATTATCAAAATCCGGAGGATTGATGCCAGTGACACTGTCAACAAGCACCTGCCATCTGCCAATCTCATTTTCCAATACTTTAATTTCTTTCTTATTCTTTCGATCTGCTGTTGCCAGTTCGGTATCAACCAGGTCATCTTTCGGTTCCATCAATTCGTTATCATTGATCATATCTTCAGCATCGGAGAAGCTCAGTACGTGTTCTCCTCGCGGTAAAGTTTGCACTGTCTGATCCGGCAATAGATAATATTGCTTCATAAGCTGCCAATGGCTATGCAATGCCTTTGCCGTCCTAGCAGGATAAAATGTATGTGCATTTGCTTCGAGTAATTCTTGAAATACTTCCGGTGTTGGTTGAGACGTCTAATATAATAAGGACAACATAAGATGATAATCAGCAATAATGTATATAAATTGTTAAAATTAATGAGTAACTTACTAATAATAATTTTTAAATCTTCCTTCTATATTATTGATTAATGCTGGCACTTACGGATTTGATAGTACCCAACAAATCCTCTTCAGCTTTGCTGTATAGAGTTCTTGCTTGTACACTAGCTATCAATTCAGGATGTAAATTGCGCATAGCTTGTACAGCTACACGTGAAACCGCACTATCGTACAATAGCGCGTACCATCTTTGTTGTATCTCTTGTAATGTAAAACGACACGAAAATTTTGTACCTCGATGAACCTAAATAAAATGAATAAAATATCTCATTAAAATGAGAATTAAAAATTCTTGTTTCATAGTATTTCATAGTATTAATGTAAATAAGAGAAACCTGCACAAAGGAAAACTTGTTAAGATAAATACCATTCTCAAATCATTTGTTTGTTGTACACCAGTAATCAGTGCCAAATCATCAGCAGGTTTCCATCTTCCAAGATCTTTAGTGGCATTGATAGAATGAGAATGATTTTTACTCTTCTTGTTTTTTCGTCCAGGATTTGAACTGGGTCTGGGTCTGCGATTGCATCTATCGGATTGTGCCAAAGTGGTCGGTATTGGTATTGTAGTAGGTAGCGTTTGTGTTGGCAGAACGTCTATAGGACTGGCGGATATTATTGTTCGCGATTTCGATGTTGATTTGACACTTGTAGTAGGCGGTTGCAAATTGAATGTTGTCTCTACCACTTCGTCATCAAATTTTTTGCGTTTTATTGTGCGTGATGAGCTTTAAATGTAAAAAGAAATATCAGTAAAAATACACGTACACGAAGAGTCTAATTTGTGTAATAAAAATTTAACTTGTAGATACACACGCTATTTAACACTAACCTTCTTCGTTTTGTTGCCAAAGCATCTAGAGTTGACGATTCAATAGGAATACCTAAGAAGCTGTCCGAATTGTGCGAAAGTCCACTGTGATTGAGGCTAGTCGGAGTTGATATATCCATTGTTACATAAAACGAATGTGAGAGAAATGTAATAAATAACTATACGTTGTTTGCTCTCTTAATGATGATGACTTTGATGTATTTGCATAACTGTACGGTGAATATCCTCTAAAACATTTATATTTCAAATCACGTAAGTGTCATTCGGTATATCGTCCCGATCAGGGGGAGGGGGTTCAAACCATAGACTTATATAAGTCTATGGTTCAAACTCGCCTCTTGTGAGAAGGGGAACGCTGGTTTCAGCGCCGCCTAGGCCTACCTGCCAGGAAGTAGTGAACTAAGGCTGGATCCTCATGCAGACACCGGCGCTTTGACACCGAACGTTGATTGGTGAAAAGCAGGTGGTGAGGGTAAATTAGAGCTGCTATTTATCCTCACTATCCGCTTTTCACCAATCAACGCTCGGTGTCAAAGCGCCGGTGTCTGCATGAGGATTCAGCCTAAAGAACGAGTGGAGGGCAATGGTGTAAAGCCCGTTCTACATTGATCGCAAGCGCAAACGCAAGGTATAGGATCTCGTAGAATTGACCAATCACGCTGGTCAATTGGCTGATTTGATCAATACGATTGGTCAATTCTACCAGACCTGTTCCTTGCGTTTGCGCTTGCGATCAATGTAGAACAGGCTTAAGGCGTAAGAAAATCAACCAATCCAAAGTGATTGGTCCCCCATCGCTCTTATTGTAAGAGAGAGAGACACAACTACTCCAGCACTATCTCTGTCCTTTAATGTTGTCTTCAACTTCGTCATATAAATGTTCCGTCTATTATATAAGTCTATGTAGGTAGGGAATACCGTTCCTCTTACCCTTAGCCCCCCGCGTCCAAGAAACGATTCATTGACCCCAACTGTACATACTTTGCTTCGTTCGCTTATCTTCCCTGTGCGCAGTGAAATTCTCTTCTCGATTTCGAACTTACAAGTAAGATATATAGTGGGAGAAGACAAACCCTCGGTTTCTCTCCCACCGCTACATCTCTTTCCCTTTTCATTTCCGCCATTTCTGCGTAGGTACTTCGTCGATAGCTTCGACTTTACTTTAATTCGCCGTTGTTCGACGTTCAGAGAAGAAGCGGTGAGAGCTTGATACAGTTTTGTTCCTTGCGAATATCGCTCATCCAAACGCGATACACGAAGATGTTGCTTTACGCGAGCAACCATTGCACCCAAGAGTGGAACACGTTTTTCTACCCAAATATGTGCCACATCTGCAAGAAGTTTGGTAAAATCAATGAAACGGATATTTTGCGGAATAGTTTGAAGACGTGCGGCGGATGCAAAATGATCTTCTATTGCTGCCGAGATCATCAGAAGGTACACTGGGCGGCGCACAAAGATTTCTGCAAAGCTGTACAAGACGTACGTGAGAATTGCGCCGAGGAATTATCCGCAGCTGAAGGAGAGAAGGCCAGGATGAAGCTTTTACAGCAGAAGGTGACGTCGAAATTGCCACGTAAGTTGAGGATATACGAGATGCAGATGTTCAAATACGCGAAAATGTGTCGATATTGCGGCGAAGCGAATGACGAATTGCAATACTGTTCGAAATGTTTATCCGTGAGCTTCTGCAAAAAACACGCAAACAAACATGAAGAGGACGCCTGTTCTCAATATCGAATGACCTTCATGTCAGAAATGACATTGTCTCCAAACAGGGAATCTTTTCATTGGACGTATATAAATTTTGCTGAATCTTGCCATTTGGATAGTGACATGGAGACATTTCTGACGTATTTTAATGACGAACTGGAGAATGATAAGCTTGCGTGTTCGTTATTCGCAATGGAGCAGTCAAGACATTTCACAAGAGTAATGTCAGTATATCAAGGATTGGAAATATTAAACCTTGATGAAGACACAGAAAAATTAGTACTTCATTGTATAGGCGCGACAAAAATGAAAGAAAGACCAATTGCGACGACTTTTGAGATTCTGTTTCACTTGTATCCTTCTATACAATTCATACATCTTGTACTGATAGGACCGGGCTTGGCGGATGGTTTTGGGAGAGATATTGCGCACACCGTACAAAAGTTTTTGTGCATTCCTTGTCGTCGAGAAAGCAAGGAATTTTATGTACAATATTGCGATACGACTTACAGCGAGTATATGAAATATGAAGAGACAAGGGTAGAACCAGATTACGTTATTGGATTTAATTGTCACTTTCACGAGTACGATATCGGAGAAAAAGAAGAAACGTGGGCGGAATCTATCAAGATAATAGCTGAACTAAATAAACCGTTAATTTTAACGTGTCACTCGAAGCGTGAATGTGACTTAACTACTGAGAGAATAAATTTAGTCTTGGAAAAAGAAATAGCGTATTTACATTGCGAAAAGAATCCATATGCTGCTATGACATTGTTTAGAGAATACGAATCTGAACTTGAGGATGACTCTGCTAACAAAGATTTAAAAGAAATAGACTTATATCCTGTGTATCATGAAAATGAATATTTACTCATTTACGAGAATCTGTGTAATAAGAAGCACAGTTTTGATTCTAAGAATTCTATGGTTTCTATGGATTCTATGGTTTCTATGGATTCTATGGATGATAATTAACATAATTTAATGTGTGAAATATGTAATCTTTATATTTTTATGTTGTATTTATATATATATTTAGTTTTTTTACTTTTATACTCAAAATACTGTTGAATCTATGTTACTTGCACTCTATGTTCCTTATTTTGTTTTCTTATCAAAGTACAAATATACATCTACCTCATATATTAAGAAATGGAAGCGCATGAACAGACTTATTTATAACAAAAAAGATGATTGACTGTTGTAACAACACATGACTTTTTAAAATATACTTGCAATGTATTTCTTGTATATAATGTGATTACTCTAATGTTTTTTCTTGACCTGTTGTCTCCATGATATTCTCGTAATATATATATAATATATAATAATATATATATATTATGTATATATATATAATATATTAAGAGAATTTATATATAAAAACGGACTTGTATATAAATGTATAACTGTTGTGTTTGTGTATGTACAGAGCGGTACGTTGATACTTTGTATACAATGTTTATTACGGAATGTTTATTTACATACAGGGAGCGTGCGCTACCGCGTCATCTTATCTATCTAATGAGGAATGAAGATAGAATGAGTGCGTTCAGACAACTCAACGGTCGAGAGATCATCACTTACGACAGGACCAGAGAGAAGACTGAGAGCGGCCCTGCCATTGTTGTTTTTCTACGACGGTTTCCAGCCGCTACTTTCAGCGCCGGGTTCCATTTTGCGTGGAACTCGCGAACTACGAAACGAGTTTCACTTTCAGGCGCGTACGATAAAAATGTATCTTGGTTAGAGTCTGTGCTAAATTCACTTTCATTCGGCTCGAATCCGTGCTACGTCCACTTTACTGTCGATAAGTAGAACTGCCAACCATCGAGAGCATCGGTGATGATGGAGGTTACGCACACAAACGAAACCGTGTCCGTGTGCGTGACGTCCAACGACGTGAATGAAAGTGAATCTGAAGCACGGACTCTAACCGAAATACATTTTTATCATATGCGGCTGAAAGTGGAACTCGTTTCGTAGTTCGCGAATCCCACGCAAAATGGAACCCGGCGCTGAAAGTAGCGGCTGGAAACCGTCGTAATAAACAACAATGGCATGGCCGCTCTCGGTCTTCTCTCTACCCAATACGTTCCCTTCTGTTTCTTTTTACACATGGAGTCGAGCTTCTAGTATATTACACATGTCTATGGTACAAGTGGTGGGTCACGCTGGCACGCTTTCTTCGTACGTACAGTATGGCTCGTTTTACTCCGGTTGTATTTAGTGTCTCCACGTTTATGTGCCAGATTTTTCACTCGTCCTCAGGCATATCGCACGTTAAATAATCGCCGACAATCATGGACGAGGAATGGGGTAAGTATCTCTCTCTCTTCCGAATCCCGATTTATCGCAATTTCGATCGCACGAAATTCTCGGCGATATACCTGATTTTATTAAGGCGGACCTAATTTTAACCTTTTTCCCTTGTGCCGTCGCAGATGTCGAGAATGTCGAGAAATTTGACCTCGCGATGAGGTCGAACAAATGGGAAGGAGAGGACGAAGAGGAGGAAGTTAAGGTAACGCGATCTTTCTTCAAGCATAACGCTCGAGATTCTCGCAAATTCCCACGCGATTCCAACACTTAACCTATAACAATCACATCACATGCTTCCGTACCGTGATTCTGCGTCACCGCTAATTATGTATCCCTCGTAAATTCGAAAAATCTGTATGACATTAACGTTTTTCAATCAAGTAACATCACATCCATAAACGTGACTGTGTAAAAGTATGAAGAAGTAAAAATGTTGTATACACATATAGATAATACATGTGTACTTGAAAGAGTGAGATATATGAAATATATATTTTAAGACACAAGTAAAGATACATATATATATTTACATATATATATAATATATATAATATATATATGTATATATTAGGTATTGTATATTAACAAAAACATATTTCAAAGTTTTCACAGTTTTTATAATTAATTTTGATGCTAAATAAACACTTGTAAGAAATATATAATTTATATAAAAGTGTTTTTGATATGAAAAAAATATGTATTGAATTAAATGTAAAATATCACTTGTATATCACTTAAACCTATATATTTTGTGTGTGCATGCATATTATATTTGCATATATATATATATATATGTACATATGTATGTATGTATACCACATGCACTTAATCAAAGATTATTTATTTCACTTAAATGTAATAATAATCTAAACATGCAGGATAGTTGGGAAGATGTTGAAGAAGAGAAAAAAGATATAGAAAAACCTGCAGAAGTACCAAAAGCTAAGCCAAAACCAAAAAAAGCACTGCAGGAAAGAATTGAGGAACGTGAGGTTAGTTTTTGATTGTTTTTTTTTATGTTAGAAAGATATATTATAATTGAACAATTTTATTTATATCTTTGTAAAACTTATTGCACACTTCAGAAAAAGGCGAAAGAAGAAGCCGAAAGAAAAGCAAAAGAGAAAGAAGAAATACTTACTCCAGAAGAAAGGAGAACTGAAATTTTAAGACGCCAAAGGTTGCAAGAAGAGGCAGATCTCAGGCTGGCAATGGAAACTTTTGGTTTGTCAAATCTAGTTGACTTTAGCGATCGCAAAACACACAAAAAAGATAAAAAATAATTTTTTTATAAATAATCTCAGGAATAGTTTTTATTTTAGTTTGATAATTATTTGTGCATTTAAATAAGCATAATTTGTTATCGGAAAACTTTAAAGTTTTTTTAATGACGTATTAGACTCTAGAATTAAATATATATTTTAATATAATATTTAATATATTTAATTTTTTAAAACAGTTATTACTGTTTTTTAAAATACGTATGTGTGTATATGTGTACGTGGAAACATGTGTACATATACATGCACACACACACTAGTTACATTGCCATAAGCGCATATTGTCGTATATTTAAGCTAAGTTAAGACTTTCTAAGATTGCATAATCATTGCTTTACAACAATAGCTATTATTTTTATATGTGTGTATGTGATATTTAAAAAATTAACAAATATTAATACAACTAACTATTTGTGACAATGATATGTGGGATAAAGTGTCATGTTTTGCATATATAAATTATTCAGTATTGTTATGAGATAACTATTACAAAGAGAGAGAAGTATTATTGTAGAAAAAATACTAAACAAACACGAGATAACGAAAATGTGTTTAAAATATATTTTTATTAAGATTAAGATTGTGGCATATATATTAGCATAATAGCTTTATATAATTAGAATTATAGCCACACAGATTTTTTTCTCATATTTGATTTGACAGGAACTCTATCCAACAGGGACAGATAGAGAAAGAGAAATAAATATATGCAAATTTTAAATTTATTGCAAACTATATTTAAAAATCTATTATATATAGATGTGTTGTTGTATTTTAATAAAAGTTGCTATTCTGTGCAAATTATTGTGTTTGCATCAGTTTTTGAAACCTCATTCGTTATCTGTCTCCTGTACCGTTCCTGAGCAACTCTTCTGATGCATATATGATTGATATATAAAAGGATGTATAAAGTGTGTCAAGTGTGCAATCACTACACAATATAAAACAATTTATTATAGTTACAATATAATTTAAGTACACATTTCTCTCTGTAGTTTTATTAATTTTATTACATGATATATATGTATATATATATATACATATATATATTACATTAATGTTGATAATTTTTCATAAGATATTTGTTTCTACATATGCATACACACATACATATATATTAATAATTAATAATTCAAAGTATGAAACATATTGCTTTATATAAATATATATTATTAAAATATATTAAAAATCGTAATATATTTGTTAATTGACAAATCTCAAAAATGTTGCAGGTGTAACGGAAGTCTCTAATGAATCGCTTGACGCAATGGTGCCAGACACAAAAGAAGAATTCGAGCGATTTGGTGCAGTACTTTCGCAAAAAATAAATCAATTCAATAAACACTCGGAATTTCCATCGTTTGCAGAAGAGCTTATAAAATCTATTGCTCTTCCTTGTTAGTAGCTAATCGAAAGTTTAAGAAATAACGATAAAATATTTTATACAATGAGCGGAAAGATGTGAGAGCAGATTTTATATTGTTATTTTTTTGTTTCAGTATCATCGAATCACTTAAAGAAAGTGAAAACTGTTATTGATAATCTACTTATAGAAAAGCAAAAAATAGAGAAAGGAGAAAAAGCGAAAAAAACTAAAGGAAAAGGCAAGGCCAAACTCAAAATCGAAGGTGACAACACCTTGTTAAGCGAATACGGTGATTATGTATATGACGATTATGACGATTTTATGTAGCGACTTTTCATATATTCATACATTCTAGTCGCCTAAATACACACAGAAGAATATTAAGTTGCAGATTTATATACAAAGAGACTTTATATTTGTATTTTCTGCATATTCAATTGTAATCAGAGAATGTACAATGATTTAATCTAACAATTCACAATGTCTAATTCACTAAAAAAAAAAAAAAAAAAAAAAAAAAAAAAAAAAATTAGGAAAAAAAAACAACACAGGATAAAGAAATAGAAAGGGAAAGCTAGCAATTATAATAAGTTTTGCTTAATTAATGTAATTAAGCAAAACTGCTTTAAAACAAAAACCTCACCATGTGGCAATATAGTGCTCTACAGTTATTTACATTTTTGTGGAACATTTGAATGTTCTACAAGAGTACCGTTGAGTTTTGCAGATTTTTGTCCGTGATGAGTCTGTCGTTGTATCAAATTTATTTTTGATTTGATAGTGCTATCAAGAATTGATTTTAACTTGGAGAAAGATTGAAAATGTCATAATGTTCGTGCGATCTTAGTTTGTACTATACTTGTCTATTTTTATTAAAATTGGATACATAGAATGTGGATAAAATTACTTTATACAGAGTCTGTCTTGTAATCGCATACCAAGCTGTTAAAAAAAAAAATAACTCCCATCTTTATACATATATATGTACGTATGTATGCGTGTGTGTACATTTCATATATGTATGTATGTATATGTATAAGGCTGTATTATTCTACAGACAAAATGTAATTACGGTACACGGAAGTTTTTATATATTACAGCTTATATGTACACATATATGTGCACACATACGTAGATACGTATGCAAAACATATACTTTTATTGAAGATCAATTACCTACAAGTTGGTTTTGAAAAGAGTATATTCCTAAATAAAGGTTGATTATAAATTATCCCTGTTTTCTGTATAACTCTTATTTGTAAACTAATACATTTAATTGTGTTTGTATTACAAAAAGGTTGCGCTTTGATTTTGTATAACTCAACTTTATTTAGTTACTCCTAGTAAACTTTTATCGAAATGTACATGTATGTATGTATGTATGTACTCTACATAATTTTTTTTTCTTTTTTTTTATTAGAGAAAATATACCATATGGTTTAAGATTTATGCATACAAGAATGGAGTGAGCAAAAAACGGGAGATGTATGTATACGGTACTTTTCCGATACTTTACATATTTTTGTCTTATTAGATATAGTTTAAGGCCAGTATTTAGAAGTGAATTTTATATTCAAGTTTGTTGTATCAGAGTGATCAGAAGCTCTGATTGTTCTCCGTAGCCAATAGAACGGCTGATATACATCATCTCAAACTCAAGACAATCTTAAATATAAATTAGCTTCAATATCGATCTTATTCGCGATATTAGTACAAATTACAAGTGCGCTTGATTGTTCGGAAACATTATTGCATATTTTGTCTTTTTATTTTTCATTCAATTCAGACAAAAAACAGAATAATGCTTTGAGCATTTGCAGCGTGACCCTACTGCCAATCCTATTGTAGACGGCCCTTAAAGGTCTCTTGTCTACTAGTGTGAGTGAGACGCACTGATATGCTGTTTAAACTCTCACACTACTGGACACAGTGTCGCCTGTGTACGTAGTTGGAAAGCACCCCAGGATAGACATGTGTCTCTTTGGCGCTTTTTTACAATTGTATTAATCTTAGTTCAAATTTTTTTTGTCTTACAGGGCTCCAAACTCCAATATTTTAAACAAGGTTAAAAAATTAGAACGAATGAACAGAAATATAATACAGACAAACAAGAATTTAAGTGACACAATTCAACAATTAGAAAAGAGTAACACTCTCAAGTTACAACAATTACAAAACAGGATCAAGTCTCTTGTCCCAGAGGACTCTTGTCCTATTAGGCTTACAATTCTTTTAACGAAATCAAGTGTTTTCTTTAAGGCTTAGTCACAGAGTATTTCAAATATCCATATCAGGGAGGAGTATGTATAGGGTACTACCTCCGTAGTCAACCTTCGAAGTCAAAGTGTGCAGTTCTTTTTGTTCCTACTACCACGGCCGTCTTTCACAGTGGCGTGGCCCATCTGTGTCGGGCTCGTGCTCGGGATTTTGTGACTTCGATCGCCTTGTGGGAAGGAGAAATTAACTCGGAAATTACACCCGAATTAATTTTTGGAGGCCCGATTTAGTTCGCCGATCAACCGAAAAACTCGGTTGAAGGGGACCGGCCCGGAAAAAATCCTTACCACACTCCAGGGTGGTTGAGCGGATTCGAACTCGGGACCTCCGGGTTCGCAGCCCCTGCACTCAGGCCGCGAGACCACTGGGCCGGTCTTTCTTTTTCTTTTAATTGTGTCATTTCAAGTTTGATATTATATACGTGTTTTTTTATAATCGTCGACTTTCTGTGTTCTCACGTGATTGGACGAGAAGTGTTGAATTTTTCGCTCATGTATTTTTACAATCTGACTCCACTTGTTCCACGTGAAGAATAATTTTATACGGACACACACACACACTACTTACCGCGCGAACACCTAGAGCAAGGAGTGATATATATTGTTTTTGTTGGCAAAAAATCTGAGAAAAAGAGCCTCGCAATCCAGATCGCAAAAGCAGATGTTGCACAAAACGAACATGAACATTATTAACGAGTCACCGGATATAACGCGATAAAAACAATTATTATTATCACGCCGTGACTTGGATCCTATTGTCAAGATCAAACATAACCTGTATGCAATCAGAATGTAATTTGAACATGTCTAATGTTTGTTGGTTTTCTGACATAAGAATTGATAATTAATATGTAAACTTGTCAGTTGAAAAAATTCAAGTTTATTTTCTAGCTAATCTTAATTTGAGTTGCGTACATGAATTGTGTAGAAAAGTGACAGTACTAAGGTATCTGCTACTCAACATATAACCCACAAACTTTTATAAACTTTTAAAATTACATTGTGCTGTACTCTTACAGATTTATAGCTACGTTCTTACAGATGTAATTTTTTTCGATTTCAGGAAGAACTTTTTAATTCAGGGAATGGCAATAACGTTACGTTTACTAGTCCGTAATATAAACAAAACATTTTACCACAGTAGCTCAAATGGTTCGAAACAAGTTGTTTCAAATTTTAATACAGAAGAATCCGACAAAAGCGTAACAAAAGAAGATTGGAAGGTGGAATTACACAACACCATGAAGGTTTTTCCAAATTTTATTAGTGAAAAAGAGGAAGATATTTTGGTTCGAGAAGTAGATCCCTACATGAAAAGATTACGTTATGAGTTTTCACACTGGGACAATGTTAGTAAATTGATATTGATTGATACATATGTTACATATTGTTTATAGAACAACATAATTTATCGTCTTTCTCTTTGTTTTGTAGGCGATACACGGTTACAGGGAAACAGAATGGAAAAACTGGAGCGACGATAGCTCGAAGATTCTTGATAAAATTCGTAGAAAAGCATTTTCACCAGACATGGCGCAGCTCCAACTTGTGCACATATTAGATTTAGCTGCTGAAGGGTGGATAAAGCCACATATCGACAGTATAAGGGTATTATTGAAATTGTTTTTTATTTTAAAATTATTTTTAATTCTCTTACATTAATTTTCTATATATTATTGTTTTTAATCATTTATACAGTTTTGTGGGAGTATCATTGCGGGATTAAGTTTGATGAGCGACAGTGTAATGAGACTAACAATGGAAGGACACGAGAAAGAATATACCGAATGCTTTCTGTTACCAAGAAGATCGTTATATATTATGAGGTTGAAGTTTATTTATGACTTTTTTGTTGTAGTCCCTTCTCTCGCATTAAAATTACACACAAATTATTTACATATCTGTAAATTTCTTTTAGCGGCACTGCAAGGTACAAGTACAATCATGAAATTCTTAAGTCAGAAGAATCATATTTTGAAGGACGACACGTACCAAAAACTAGACGTATTTCTATAATATGTAGATTAGAACCTGATCCTGAAATTAACTAAATAATATTAAGATGTTTTATCATCATACTTCGTTTTCTGTAAATAATTAAATAAGGTTAGTTATAAATAACAATAAAAGATTGTTATTAAATTATTATATTTATAAAGCATCAAGGTGCTTTTCTTGCCTTAAAATTCTTGAGAAATTTTATATCAAGACTATTTTTACGGAAAGCGGAATATTTAGTGTCCCACAGTGTGTATCTGAACTTCCCGCTAAAAAATAAAATTACATTTCTATCGCGCGTTACCAGATGACGCTGGTACCTTTATTGTCGCGGCGACAATCAACAACGTGAACACGAACATCTTGTCTGACCGTTGTGTTTCTGAACTATATAAACATATATATACATATATATAAAGCGGTATCTCTTTCGTGCGATCACGCAATCGCGATTGTTCGAAGTTCCAATTCATTCGAGTTAATTCGACGTGCGCTCCGCGGTTGCGAATCGAATTTAGTTTCGTTAAATGTCACGCGCGGTTTCACCGTGATTTCGGTACAGCGTCGCGCTCCGGATCTTCCGACACGTTCGGTTATCAAATGATTTGCGCGTGAGAATTATGGCATCGATCGATTTGCCGCGATCGAGTGAGTCTGCGTCACAAGTCAGTATCTAAACCTCGATGTCGCCGCAACCGCGAGGAAGGCCGTATTAATAACAATTCGCATCATCGACTGCGTAAGTTTTTTCGCTGCGATTTGCGCTAATCGATTTTATTTCAATTCTTTTCCCGAAAAAAAATGCGTCTTTTTTTTCTCGGGAGAAGGGGGGGAGAGAGGAAAAATCATTATCGAAAAACGATCTGTTTCGCATATTTTTATTATTATACATTATATGCGCGCGATATTGTAATTTTGCAAAACACTCGCTGTTGTATTTTCGATGTGTCTCTATTTTGTAAGAAGTCACGGAAAAGTTTTGCGTTAATTTCTGCGATCCGCAATAATTTTAAATAATCAACAATCTGAAATATCAAGTCGCTTGTAGATAAGTTTGCGAAGAATTGTGTATCACTTTTTTTTCGCGTGCATTGTGCAATTGTAATCACGTATATCGATAAGAGCACCTGAATAATCATAATTCCCCCCCTCCCCCTATTTTCTTCTCTCTCGACCGCTCTTCGATATAAAAGTCTCGGTTTTATTTCGCACACTTCTTGATACACTCAAGTACGTATTGCACAACACGTATGTGCGAAATAAAAACCATCAGTTTGAAGTTCGTACACGCTTCAGAGTAAAAACGTTAGCTCTCGATATTCTACGATTTTTTTTTTTTTTTGCGCTCATGTTTTACGCTCGGGGCGCTCGACGCGCTATCGTAATTGCTTCGATAATTACGACTTGCGGCCGGAACAGTTGCTACGCCATTTACGTTTGATGATCGTCGTCAGGTTATCTTTCAGTCGTTAAGCTTCGTCAAAACATCGAATTCTCGTCTCTCTCTCTCTCTCTTTTTTTTTACAAAAGCAAAGTTTCTTGATAAAAAAAAAAAAAGAAAAGAAAAATACGACACCAAATTGTGTGTGTGTAATCTCTCTTGAACACGCACAATGCGCGATAAAAGAGAGATTGCTTTTCCAAATAAGAGGTTTCGAACATTGTTTGTTATCAACAAAATGTGCACTCGAGAGAATCTCGAAATCGTTTGTTCGCGCAAGTTTGATTTGACACAACAAGTCTCGAGTATTAAAAAAAACGAAGAACGAAAGCTGAACTCTTCGATTATGTAATAATTAATTATGTAATACGAACCAAATCGTTTTGCAATTTTGCGCGCTTGATTTGTTTTTTTTTTTTTTTTTCAACTATATAGTTAATTTTTGCTTTTACACACGAAGTCGCGTATTTAACGTAGCATCGATGCAACTTCGTGTGTGTAAAACAATGTACGGACTCAATCGTACGTATACGTACACGCATATACATATACTTGTCTCGTTTTCAGCTATTCTCTTCGGTTGAAGAGAGATGGAAAGAAAAAAATCGTGTCAAGAAGCGAGACAGATCGCGACGGAGTTATGTGTTGCGCGCTTGAATATTTTTGCAAGATTGTCATAGCCGCGCTCAGGAGATGTGTATGCGCGTTATGCGTGTGCTTCGTCGAAACGATGAGTAACGACAGCAGCGAAACTTAAGACGCGCGAATGATTTATGTAATCTGGTAAAGAAAAAAGTTTATCTTGCAACAAAGAGAGAGAGAGAGAGAAAGAAAAGAGTAGGAAATCCGCGAATTGTCGATCAATATTGTCGCAGCGATACGAGAAAAACGAGAATAGAACGAGATAAATTCTTCAAAGTTGAAGATATATAAATATACTTGAAAAAAGTCGGCAGCTGACACATCGGTTCTTGCACTTTATGTATTTGTTAAAAAAAGAAAATGTTTGCAAACCGTCTGTACTGAATGTAGCGTCGTGATTTTTTGATCAGCGACGCACGTGTTTTGCAATTGTAATACTCGCCAAATGTAATATTAATGTTTTTAGAGACATTGTGACACACACACACATTTATTTATTTTTAATGTTTGCGAATATCTGAGTGGAAATACATTGTCGCGAGAGTTCCGGAGTTAATTCAACACGTTAATCGCTTGTTGTTGCAGATCGTCCAAAAAACGTGTGATTTCTCAATTTCTCCCATATTCCTTGAGGGAATCAACACAACGCGCGATTAACATATAGTGCGGTGCCCTGAATATCCGGGAAGCGTGACCCCGAAGATAACTCGATCATCGAACATCGGTTTTTGGTTAATGATTGCTAAGCGAGCCAACATGGACAGGGTTTTCATCGACGAGGAAACTGGCGAGGACCTGATCTATCCGCTTGACGATTACGTCATTCGACGTGGCTCAATCGAGTCGACGACGATAAATAACGCGGAGACCGGAGAACCGGAAGTGAACCTCGCCGACTGCTCCACAGTCAAAAGTCACATTAGAAAAGTCCCGTTTCAGGTACATATCTCCAATAAATTTTTGCAAAAATAAAATTCGTTTTTCGTACGCAACAAGAGCTTGAAATCAGATCTACTTTGACTCAGCTGACACCTCACAGAGAGAAGACTTAACGTAATAATAAGCTTTTTCTTCTAAAATGTATTTTATTAAATGTAAATTAACTGGATAATTTGTACAATTCAACAATCGTTTAGAAAAAAAAAAAACGCGTTTCGCGGAATTAATAATTGTATCGATATTATTCGCGGGAGCAAATTTATATACTTACTCGAGTGACCGCGAAGTTGTTTCCACCTTGAAACGGGGCAATTTATTTCCCGCAGATACCGCAGAAGATAAAGGAGACGTTCTCGAAAAAACGTCACCAAATGGAAACGGAACCGGTTCCGGCCGGTGCCTCGTTCGGCCAGATAAATCCCATCTGCTTGTTCTTACCAGCCATCATCTATTCTCGCTGGTTTTTCGCTATGTTGATGATGTTCGAGGTATTCGTTGTAAATGATTGCTTGTAATCGTCGTGCAACGTCCGTAAATAAATAAATAAATGTATATACATACATACATGTATAATTACCGAATCTGACACTGGTATTAAATTTTGCGATAAGGTCATTCTACACGTGTGGGCGCACCGCAAGAACAAGAGCCTGAAAAATGCCAATGTCTACTTCCGCTCGCCGTTTCACGACATCTCGGCCGAATTCTGTGCTCTTTGCCAGAACGAGACCTGCATGAATCGCGTCGGCAAAATGCACCAAATATGGATGCACAAGTTCCTGCGGCAGTGCAACTACATGAAGCGGGTGGTAACGTAAACACAACGAAACAAAACGAACAAAACATATCTGATGAGATTTTGAGGACTGGAATTTGAAAACGGTGATGTTAATCAACTCTGAAATCTATATGTATATTTATATGTTAAAAATGTTTATATTTCGTGAAAAAAGAATTGTTGAATTTTATAGTTGTTAGATTTATATACAATATATATATATATATATATATAATGTTAATCAACTCCAAAATTTATATATATTTAGAAATGTTTATATTTCATAAAAAAAGAATTGTTGAATTTTATAAAGTTGTTAGATTTATATACATATATAATCTAGCTAAAGACTATATTGTGTGTGTATATAAAATTGTTGGACGCAAATTTTATTAGATTTATTAACAGGATCCTAAAGTGGGTATGTTTTATCGATAAAACTGAATTTTTTCACAGTAAGTTTTTTTTTGGCTGTATAAATCGACAAATCCTTTTCTTCTGAAAAAAATTAAAATTTTTAAAACAATTTTTTTCATTTTTTTATATAACTTTGGACCTCCCGTATCCTTTGTTGTATGTACTTTCGTAGAAAAGGATTTGTCGATCCATACGGCCAAAAAAAACTTAGTGTGCGCAAAAAATTCAGTTTTATCGATAAAAAACAGACCCACTTTAGGATATATAACGCATGAATGCAAAAGAAAAAGCATTTTATATACAAATTTTCTATGTTTGTTACGTGTATTACAATTTTATAAAAAGTTTTATATATTAAGCAGAGTTTTTTGGTCACAAATTTTAACATAAAATAAATAACACGCTGTGTTGATAACAACCTGATGATTTATTCAACTTGTTCAACTTATGTATAAGATACGTACGATGGTGTTCAAAATTTTTCTTCTTTTATTAAAACATTGTTTATTAATGCTACATCCAATATCCAAACTTAAAAAACAAATTGATTAATGTTAAGTCGAGTAGAACATAAAAGAAATATAAGAACATAAAAAAGCTACCCTTTTTTTTTTTTTTTGTTTTTTATTACAAACCTAAAACTTACGTTGTAACCGTCAACCAATTACACTGTAGCGTAAAAGTTTGTTTATGTTAACAATTAAACTTGAACGTTTAAGTTAAATAGAAATAAGTAGTATGTAATGCGAATTGACTTGTACGTCACATGATCAACCGATCCCGTTATCGCAGTGCTAGAATTTCTCTGGTGGCAATCTTACAAATGGCGTTGAAGTCTGATGCAAGGTGCGCCCTCCAAAAACGGCACCTTCCCCAAATCAGCGCGGAATAATTCGGACTTTGTATCCCGTGAAAGACGCGAGCCACGGCACGGCCTGTGAAGTTCGTGTCTCTGTAACACATAATCAAACTGCGCACATCGGCGGCGATTTGTTGCTCGTTTGTCACCTTGTCCTGCAAACAAAACAAAACAAAACAAAAAAAACAATAAAACGCGTTGGAACGTGGATTTTTAGTCTATTAAAAATATCAGAACAGAATTCACGACTCAAGAAACATACCAGGAAATCGATATCGATACTCTTCAAGGAAGATTCCGATTTAAAGTACTCTCTGATGATGTCTTTGAGCTCTTCCGACTTCTTCGTGATGTTCTCGTCCCAAACCGAGCAATGCCTGATCGATGGCACGCTGATATTGTTGAGCGTGGACGATATGAGTTCAAGTTGTTGCAAACACGAGGATTCCTGAGCTCGAGTGCGCGCGATCAATGCGTCGAGCGCCTCGTCGAGTTCGGTGTCTGTGAGATCGCCAGGTGCTTTCACTCGAAGACCGAGTTTATCGTAATGCACCGATATTGCCGATCGTTTTGTCCTACCGTCAGCTGTGAAATTCACACACACACACACACACACATTTTCAAAACAGCTCCGAAGATACTTTATAAATTGAAACTACGGAATTCTCACCTGCTGTCGTCCATTCTAAATTCTTAAGGTGACTCTTCACCACGCCACTGTCCCAGCCAATGGCTGACGCAACGTCGATCACCGGAAATTCTATGAGATTACTGTTCTCATGCGAAATCCCCTTTTTCATGTCTAACGCTATCGCCATTGCGAGCGGCGGAGACTGAAGCCAAATTTGCGTGTAAAACATTTGAGCGAAACAAGTGCTGATATTAGTTCACGATGTTCACGATGCGAGAAGAGAATCTTACCGATTGCGCAGCTTGTTTGAGAGGCTGCGGTCCGTGGTAGCTCGAAACGCGAGCTCGTACGTACACGGACGAGAGCACGGTGATGAATCTCTTCGGGTGCAACTCGAGGTAACACAATAACGTCGAAATTGTCTCCTCCGTGATGTCGAGAGCTTGAACGGTCTCGTCGATTGGAAGAGCGACTTCGTGACCGGGACACCTCCGGTTCGAATTTTGTCCGTTTATCTTCGCGCACGAACAAGGTATGAAGATTCTTTGAAGTAAGTGTCTGATCGTGTGCCTGTCGACACCGTTCGCGTGTATATGTCTACGCAACTCCCACTTGTCGCTGTTTTCCTAGTGTGAAAATGATGACAGATTTAATTAAAACAGAAAACGCGTGAAATATAGAAGAAACAATTGTGGATAGTACAAATCTTGGAATTTTAGAATCGTGTAATACAATACCCCGGGATTTAAGAACAAATGACAGTGCGCTGGGAGACCGTCTCTCCCAGCACGACCGATCTCTTGCACGTATCCCTCGAAAGTGCCGGGCATGTTGTAATGTATGACAGCGCGGATATCCGACTTGTTGATGCCCATCCCGAACGCAACAGTTGCCACCACAATCTTAATATCTCCGCTCATAAACTTCTTCTGCACAACCTTGCGTTTGTAAGCGGTCATGCCGGCGTGATAAGCCTCGGCTATCGCGGACACTTTTGCGTCCGGCTTTTCGGGATTCTGCGGGTCCTATTGTAATAATATTTTATTTGTTAAATTACATTTTTCGAATTCTTATCTTTAGGAACATTTATACTCTAGTGAAGATAAAAAATAATACTTACTTGCAGTGATATTCTCAATAATCCTGCGATTCTAATACATTCGTCTCTACGAGTGCAGTAAACTATCACGGAGTCGCAGTTACGGAATCTCTCGCTCCTCAACAACGCGATCAACGCCTGATCTTTGTTCTCGTCCTTGGACACCGTCAGAACGAGATTTCTGGGCAACGGCACGTCCGAGATGACACCGGCCATGCCGTCGTGGAGATCTAAATGTTTCACTATACTCTCCGCCGTCGCCCTCGTCGCGGTCGCTGTCAGTCCCAACACCGTCTTCACGCGCAGCTTCTCCTTGAGCACTCGACAAACCATCAGATAAGAAGGACGGAAGTTGTGCGACCACTGCGAGATGCAGTGAGCCTCGTCGATACAAGCGAACGCGATCGGCGGCAGTTGCCTGAGTAGAGCGCCGAAACCAGTTGACTTCTCGCCGGCCACCACCGCTTCCGGCGACACCAGCAAAATGTTCACCTTACCGTCCTTCACCGACTGCATCACTTGTTCTCGGACTTTTGGCGTCTGACCTGTGTGCAAGCACGCGGCCGACAGAAACAGAGGCACGCCCGTCACTTGGTCGTCCATCAGAGACACCAGGGGCGAAATCACCAGAGTGATGCAGCGTGAGCGCTGGGAATACAAGTAAGCCGGTAATTGATAGCACAGGGATTTTCCGGAACCTGTGGACAAGGTCACCAGGGTCGATTGACCGGACAGAATTCTCATCACCGCCTTTTCCTGGCCGGCTCTGAAGCTCTCGTGGCCGAACATACGCAACGCCTCGAACACTTCCGTCGGGGTTTCGATGTGAGTACCGTCTTTGCTCGCTGGATACAACGGATCGACTTCTTTCATTTGAGGTGGCAATAATCTCGACAATAGTTCTTGCGGTATTTTGTGGCCGAAAGTTAACGTATTTCCTTCGCCGAATTCGTCCGCGAAGTCGTCATTGAGCAAATTCGCCAGATCTTCTTTCGGTTTCTCTTCTTTGTTCTGCTTGAAACACGAGATTGTCACAAAAGCAGATGGCTTTTCGGGAAGCCGATCAATTCTGCGACCGTGAGCGACGATGGCATTTTCGCTCGCCATCTTTTCAGCCTCCTCTAAAGTCGGAAAGTTCGAAGACGACGATTCGTCAATCTCGTCCAAAGGTAGAAGAGCGTCACCTTTGGATACCGAGCAATTCTTGGCGAAGTGGCCGGATTCGCCGCATTTAAAGCACGTCGTACTGTTTTTGTCCATCAAGTCGGCCACGTCCAAACTGCCTTCGCTGGACATCAAATCTTTCTTCTTCTGTTTCCACTGATTCCTTTTGTATTTGGCCAGATTGAAGTTCTTCTTGCCCCGCACGAATACCTTCTTCTTCAGATTTATTCTGACGTAATTATCGTTTAACGTTCCGGCAGCTATTTTCTTCTCTAGTTTTTCCTTCGCGGTCAACTTGGCGCTCGCTCTGGAAGACGCTGAAGAAACGTCGTCGATTTTCTCATCGTCAACCGTTTCGGAGAACTGCGCGATCAGATCGCCAGTTGCGCTCGGTCTCACCGCGAAACGAGGCGTCGTTCGTAAAGTTTCCACGCTGTAAATCGGAATCTTTCTCATCTCCGAATCCGAACTCTGCTCTTCGTCGTATTTAACCGAATTCTTTCTTCTGGAAGATCGTCGTCTAACCGCGTTCGATTTTTCTTCGTTGCTCTTTCTTCCATTTCGTTGGCCCGTCGAGGTTTTAGCGGAACGCGTACGCACGGCGTTCGTCTTCGCTTTTGTTCTGATCTTCTTGCTCTTCTCTTCCACGTAATCGCAATCGGAATGATCGGACGACAGTTGTCTCGTTCTTCGACGCGACGATTGCTTCGTTGATTTCTCATCAATCGTCGAAGAAGTTTCTTCGTTCACGGGATCCTTCGATTTGGAAATAATATTCGTCGTTGTCGAGTCGTTCTTTGTTTCGGTGTGACAAATGTTTCTAGATGCCATTTCGTTGTCAACAACATCGTTCGATTTGACATCAACGTCTGAGGCGACTTCTTTGTTTCGAGTCCTCGATTTTAAAATCGCGTCAACTTCGCCGGTTGTTGATTTTGCGTCGATAGCTGTTTTGTTTCCAATGTGCACGTCTCTGCGTGATAAATTAAGTCTCGCGTCAGCATCGGGTGTTACTTTGCAAGTATTGCTGCCATCGGTTGTTCCGCCCGGCCGAGTAGCGGAACCGGAATCGATCTCAACGCATCGTCGCTTAGCCGGACGACAGATGTCCTGTTCGCTCAGATGTCTCTTGAAGTTTCTGATGCGTTTGTTCCTGCGCTCCTCCTCAGAATCGCTGTTGCATATGAAGTCCTCTTCCTCGTCCGAGACGCGGAGAAGCGACGCGGTGGAATTCACTGTGATCGCCGAGTCTTTCGGTGAGTAAATGCTGGATTCCATCGACTCCATGCCGGAGTCGCTCGTGCCCGAGAGCCTTTGCGAATTGATCACCGCCATTTCCAGATTACACTCCCTCGTGCATCGATCCAGCCAGCCTTGGTTCAGATTTCGATTCGCACCGGTCGCACGGCCCTCGACCAATTGCTGAACAGCGCTCACGGAATGCGATACGCCGGATTTGTTTTCCTCAAACGTCACCTTGATCGATTCGCCGAATATCGGTTTTTGCTCAACGGTCGTCACGCCAAAACCGTCTCTGCTGTCCGCGTCCAACTGATCGACACTCGGATCGCCACCTTTGTCGGACTTTGGTCTCAGTTTAACGGCCGACAGGGATTTCCTTGGATTTCGTTTGGTGAAGGCCGAACTCTCAAATTTGTTTCTGGACAATTGGAACGAGGTGGATCGACCGATCAGAAGTTGCTTCTTCGGCGCTTGTTCCTTGCTCTTGGTCAAATGACTGCCCCACACACCCTGAATATTCGCCGCATCCGATTGACCGGTAGGTATCTCCGATTCCGTAGCGGAATGTTTGCCGTCGTGCGAAGGAGCTATGTTCTCCGCGTCTCTCTTCGACTTGTCCGGACTCTTTGGCTTCTCCGGGCTTGGATTTTTCATGTCATGTTTGTTCGAATTAATCGCCGTTGTTTCTACCAACGACGCGTTTGTTATATTGCTTTGAACATCGTCGCAGAAAGTAATGTCCATGAGCGTTTCCTCGATCGCGCGCGTTTTCAGATTCCAGTATATCTTGTACGCCGCTTTGATGGACACGTCCGCCTCTTTTATATCGTTCTAAAAAAATGTAAATGAAAAAGCGATAAGGCAACATTAACCAAAACTTCGTTAGACAACTACTTTAGATATCGCGCAGAGCCGGAATATCTAATCGATATTTAATGGATAAATTTTTGTTCCGTCCGGGATTGCGACACAAAATTACATTGCGACGACACAAAGAAGACAAAAATGTAAAAAGGCAGAAAGGAATAAAAGGTATAAAGGTACAAATGTATTTAAAGCTAAGGATAAATTGGTTTTGATTTAATTTATTTAAATTTAATTTAACTTGATTGGAGTGGAGATAATTTAAAGGAATTGTAAAAGTAAGTGTAAATAAGCGAGAAGTAAGTGGAGGATGTAACGTATGGAAGGATGTGTGAGAGTAGACTTGTTGTAACCAAGGTCCCCTTCTTGGCCATATATAGGCTCAAGTGTCCAAATAAATTATATAAAAAAAATTATATACATTGCGACGACACGTGACAATATCATTGCGATAACGGTACAATTTTTCATTGATAATTCGAACGAACACATGTAACACGACTTCGAGACTCTTGTCGCGAACTGACAGTCGCACATGTTCGCAAAATTCTCGAATCTTCTGTATTTACTCGAAAATTGCGCGACTTGTCTTACATTCGCGTGATCGCAATTGCGAAACGCTTGTCGAACGGTTGCGTTTAATACAGAAAATTGCGTAAAAGTGCAATTCCCGAGGGTTGCGCTTCGAGAGAAACCTTACCTTGTTGGGTTTGCGTCCGTATTTCTCCATGAAATCGCTCTCCCACTGCTTCAAGCGAAATTTGTTCTTCTTGTACTGAGTTTTGAGAACCGGATCATCGAAGAGCTCCATGTTCATCGGAAAAAACTAAACCGATCCGTTGGTCGAGTACACGAATTCGATTGATTTCAGCGTGTACGTTCGAAGAGTTAGGTTAGGTTAAATAACCTCCCGCAGACCTGTCCCGCGTAAACACAGCGAGGCGAAACGTAGCGGAATGAACGTAGGCCTACCATCTGGGTCTCTCTCGACGTTGCGTCGTTCGATAGTTCTCTCGATATATTTATATATCGCGTGTCGCCCGTATCACCTGTTCGGCGACGGCCGGTGGCGCCCCCGGGCGTCCCGACTGCGTAACCAGTGACAGGCAAGATGGCCGAGTAGTGGTGACGGGTCGTGGTATGCACCGCTGGTGGATTCGCGAGCACGGCGCAGTGCGGATGGCCTAGCGATGGCCGAGTACAACATCGACATCGGCAAGCTACCGGAGGACGTGCGGGAGAAGTTAGCCGAGTTGGATCTCGAACTGTCCGAGGGTGAGTGCAAATGAGCGACTTTGTTTTTCCATTTCGGCGAACGCTGGATGCGGATTCATCCACCGCTCCTCGCGGCCCACCCCCTCGCGTTCGTCTCTTCTCTCTCTCTCTCTCTCTCTTCCTTTTCTCTTCCCTCGTGCTCCGTCTCTCTATCCGTCTTTCTCCCTCGCTCCCTTCTGACTCACCCCCCGTGTGTGTGCTCCGCACCGAGACAGAATCCCCTAGAAGTCCCCGTTTGTTGATAAAATCGATAACACCTTACGCGGCCGTTGCCGTCTCTAAACGTTTCCCTTCGCGATGCGACCACGAAGTCCGTGAAAAACGACGATCTTCTTTCTCTCTCTCTCTCTCTCTGTCTTTCTGTCTGTCTCGCAATTTTCCGAAGGCGGACGCCGCCGTTCGGAAATCACGTAATCGGAAAGGGTGCGTTGGGAGGTACGAACTCGTTGGCACTCGCGTCGAAAAACCAAAAGGGGAACGCGGGGGGGACAGTGCACATTTTAAAGTCTATTCCGTTAGATACGTATATGCGCGTTATGTATGTACATGTGTAGACACACACACACACACACACACACACACACATAGTTTAGTTCACAACTAACGGATAATATATGTGCATTATTTTTTTTTATCACGGAACGACTTTGTCACCTTTCGTCACACTGGCAGAGGAAGATCCTTTGTCCTCCGCTCTCTTTCTCTTTCTCTCTCTGTCTCTCTCTCTCTCTTTCTCTGACGCGATCGGCTGTTTACTCGCAATTATTATATCGCACGTGTAATATTACATCGCGCGCTTGTACGCGTTTTATTGCGGCTCGGATAGATTCGAAGCGACGCCGGTTATTATTGAACGGTTCATTTTTGGACGAGCTCGTGAAATCGAACGAGACACAATCCCGCCACTGTCGAAACATTGCGGAGAATCTCCGCTCAGACGTAAATTCGCGCGAATTTACATTGTTTCCTTAAAACAAATCTTCTCGCTGACCTCAATGATCATTGTCTCTCCTTCGTACTCGACTAAATGTACGTGTACATAAAATTATATGTCATTGTGTGCGTCAGTGCGTTCTCTACGCGCTTTTTTCTACGGACTTTTTGTTTCTCGCAATTAAGTTTTTTTTAACTCGGTCCGATACAAATCTTTTGTTGCGTCGCGCGTCGTAAAATTATACCGGCGCGCAAGTCACGTTATACGAAAATTACACGAGAGCTCCTCACCCTCCTCTCCCCCCCCGACGTTGTGCAGGTGCGAGAGGTTTCGAGTTTTCCTCGCGAGAGGAACGTCGCAGTTGCGACGCGCTCGAGGAAACGAACGTCTTATTTGCATTTGTAGTTAAGGACTGTTGCAAACGACCGACGACGTTGCCGACGTCATTGGTCATTTCCGTCATTCCGCTTCTCTTCGCTAAATAACAGGTGTCGTGTCGGAAAATTGTCGACGCAACGCGCGCGCGATTTAATTAAAAAGTCTCGTCGTCGATTAGTCGGGATGTTTTTTTCTTTTTTTTTTGTGACTTTTGTTTTTTTCTATTGTTGCACGAGAGAAGGGCGAGCTAATTGCGCGCGCGAGGAAACGTCGCGATCATTTAGCAGCTCGGCTAAATCGAGCGCGATGTGCTCGGGAGACTAGAAATTTTTTTCGTCCCTCTTCCCGTTCTTTTTGCGAACAGAATTTTGTTTGCGAAAGTCGTCAAAATAAACAAACAAAAAAAAAAGATGCGAAGAAGTGTAAAAAAATGTACGCCTCGAACGAGCGTTAATTAGTTAAATGGTTTTTGTCAATGGTTTATATTATTTTTATTAAGTTAATGATTAATTATTAAGTCACTAATTAACGGCGTTTGACTTCTAGAGAGATCTTCGACCTTTTTGTTTCTGCGCCTTGCGCGATGCTCTGCCGCGGAGAGATGCTCGTTTCCTCGGACTCTTCCGCGGATTATATATATTGATTACGCCGTTCCCCGCTCGGATCCTTGAAACTGAGGATTCCCGATAGGAAATCGCCGAACGGGGCGAGTCAATTAATTATTGAGGTCGTCACCTTACTCGAGTCGCTTGGAAGACTACTCGCGCCTCGTCGTCGGTTGAACGAACGTAAGAGAGCGCAATTTTTTCTCGGTCAACTTGCGTGCTCGTCCGGTCAGCACGTGGCACGGGCGGTTTGTAACCTAACGTAAGCGGCTTACGTAGTCCAGCTGTAAATAAGACTTAAAGACGTCTGCGTCAGCGTCGAGTATCATGCGTCCGCATTAATAAAGGAGGAGAAGGAGACTCAACTCCGGTTGTTTTGTCGCCTCCTTCCCCGTTGTCTCGGGGGCCTCTCGCTTTTTTTTTTTTGCCGCTGTAATTTTCGATTTTGCAATCATCGCGTCGCGATTATCGAGAAGGTGCGCGAAAAAGCGAGATTTTCTCACGCGGCGTGAGCAGCAACGCCGCCGGGGAGTTCGGATCTTTTTTTGCGACGCTTTGCGAGCGAGAATTCGAGCGAATTTCTTCACGAGCGGCCGCGCGTTGTCACACACAAAGGGACAACAACCGGCGGGTTCCGGATCGCGGGAGATATATATATCAATACGTGCGTGTAAAAAACGCCCGTAATAATAATCGGGTTCTTTATTGTGTCTCTACCGAGAAAGTGACTAATTCGTTTCGAAAGCGCGAAGTCGGTGAATAATGCGACGGAGTTTTTTGTTGTTGTATCGCGAACTGGAGATGTCGCAACTCCGTCATTTGTCGCGGGACAACGAGACCCCGAAAAACGTATGCGCGCGGGTTCGCATTTTTCCGACGCGAGATAAGATACTTTGAATTAGAAAAATGAAAAGCCAAGCGGTCCGATTTCGTACACGTAGGTCTCAATCGATTCGCCACTTTGTTCGGGTGCGAATTACAATACAAGTTTTTGTAGATTTAACACGTTTTTAATTTGAGATTTTTTATACACTAGGTTTTGAAGTTTCTGTTTTACTTGTGTGTTTGACCAATATATTTTATCTAAATTACGGAAAAATATTCTTATCTTCAGATATGACTTCTTCTTCGGATGTTTATTTATTTTTTTTTTCTATCGCTTCTTTTTTATCAACGGTTCGGTTTCATTTGAGATATGGATCTTTAAGGAGCGTTTGGTTTTGTCATGGTGCCGTTGTGTTCTCTGCCGGATATTCACCACGTGTCAGAGAGAGAGACAGAAAGAGAAGGAAAGAGAGATGCGCGTTTATTAAGTCGTCAATCACCGATAATTTTTCAAAGTGCGGCGTGCGCTTGAGAGAAAAAGAGAATAGAAAGCGATCTTAACCCAGAATTTTTCATAATTGTCGTGTTATTGCCGCGGATGTCAGTTAGAGAGATAAACGCAACGCGTTTATCTCTCTCTCTCTCTCTATGACGATATATCCGTGGACTCTCTAGCGGCTGATCCGGTATTGCTCAATCTCGAAGATTATCGCCAAGTGTTACACACACGATTCTTGCGTCAAAAAAAAAAAAAAAAGAAAAAAAAACACGATAGGAAGTAATCTCTTACGTCAATCGTTTTGTGTTTACGTTAATAATTTTTGAAACGTATTTCATTCCGAGCGTACGACGCTTTTCAGAATCTTGTTTCGACGTCGTCGGCGCGAAGACGAGAGAAACCGCAATGGAATCGCAATCAGCGCGACGTGCTGACATTCTGCTCGTCGTGCATTTCATTTCTCGGGGATCGGGAAAGAAACGCGAGAAGGCGAAGAGAGAGAGAGAGAGAGAGAGAGAGAGAGAGAGAGAGAAAAAAAAGCCGATTAGCGGGCGATTTTGTCGCACGCGACGCGCAGGTGCAAGAGAACGCAGCATCACACCAGGACGCGCTCCTTCTTCACGGATCGTTTGTAAGATCAAGGTCGCCGGTTTCGTTGGGTAAACGTCCTCGAGTCGCCTTGAGTCGGTGTGCGCGCCGGGGTACCGCGCGCGCCCGCCCGTAGACGGACTCCTTGCGCTTATCGGCCATTACGAGCCGCGTCTCTCCCCTTTCCTCTCGCCGCATCGTTCTGACAATGCGCCTATATACGGTGCCAGAGTGGTCCACGTCTCTCTGCACCACGCCTAGAATCAGTGATATTAGATTGTACGAGGCGTTGTATGCGATTGTCGTCAAAGACGATCGCGACGCTTTAAAGCGCGTCTCTTCTTTCCGAGAGACGCATTTGAAAATGTTACGTCGAACGGAAAAAAAAAACCATTTTGACAAGTGTTTTTTTGTTTTTTTAGTATCCACAACTATTTTAATTTAAATTACACACATGCTCTCGTGCGTGAGTTCAAAGTTCGACAAGCCGTCGACATTTTGTACAGTTTTCTCGCGAGGCGTTTGCAAACTCGCGCGATAACAATCTTGAAAACTATTTCTGTTCTCGGGAATTGATCAATATTATCCGTTCGATCCGCGCGCGCTCTCGTAATGCACGAGATTGTGAAACGTACAATCCGCGGAGAGAAGAGATAAGACAAGAGAGAGAGAGAGTTCGAAAAGCCGCGTTTCGCCGCGCGGAACGCGGCTATTCCGCCACCGCCTACACAATCGCGGGCGAAGCTCCCCCGTTCGGGACGGGATTGAGCGCGTAGGTGTTTCGAATCGGTGGAAAGAGTGCCCACACTCGCGCACCGGCACTTAAGGGTTCGTAAGAGAGCAACACGCTCGTAAATCGATGGCTTTTCCTCCCAGGTTGAGGCATCGCGGCAGCGACTACGAGGCCGCGGAGTTTATCTCCGATTCTCATATCTCGCGTTACGTCTGTCTCGCGGGACTTCGCGTACTTTCGAGTCGACGCGGCGTTATCGCGGGCGCGGGTTTTTTTTTTTTACCGTCATCAGCAGTAAAACGCGAGACTCCCCCTGAGCGTCTCACAAAAATCGGAATCCTGCGATCCCCTGAGATCAAAAATCAGCTTTGAAGTCAGTTAAGATCCGTGATACTAAGGAACGCGAAAAAAAAAAGAAGAAAAGAAAAATAAAATTTCAAAAGATGAGGAGTTGCCTCTGGTTCAGACTTGGTAAATCCAAAATGTTGATTGTAAAAAAAAAAGGGCTTTGCTGAACTTAAATGTGGATAGATTGTGTAAATAATAAATAATAAAAAAAACATATATTTGTGTGTTTCGGATTATTTACACAATCTATCCACATTTAAGTTCAGCAAAGCCCTTTTTTTACAATCAACATTAAGAAAAATAAAATTATATATCTTGAGCAAGCAATTGTAAAAAAAAAACAAAAAAAAACGAGAAATAAAAATTACGTAAAAAAATTAAATTGCAATTGAACGTATTTTAATCAACCGCGTTAGATAATTATTCATTAACGCTCTATGTATGTGCAACACCGCGCGGAGACTGTAACAATCCCGGCGGAAGGGCCGAAATACTTCTGGTCGACCCTCGTAATTCCACCTTAAGAATCTTTTTCTCTCTCTCTCTCTCTCTTTTTCTCGGACGGAGGCAGGGCACCAACAGCGGAGATCTCTCGAGAGAGCTCGGCCGAGAGCTGAAGCAGCGTTTCGCTCGCTCGTTCAGAATGTACGAGCGAGATGACGCGAAGGAGAGTGGGATGCTGCGAGCGACGAAGAAGAAGGCAGGCGAGAGTGGACGGACAACATGCCACCACCACTCTCCTCCGTGTCTTTTTCTCTTTCTTCCTCGTCGATTCGTTCGGTTCCTCTCTCGCCTACTCCGTCCGACGACTTTTACACGCGCGAGCCGGCTTCCCACCCGCGGGTTTTCTCTCTCTTTCTCTTTCTTTCCTTCGCACGCGCGCGAGAGAAAGACAGAGAGAGAGAGAGAGAGAGAACGGCCCGAGCTCGCGGCCGAGAGCGCGCAAAATGCCAGTGATTCGACGCGACTTGGAGTACGCGCCTCGACGACGCGCGAGACGAAGCGGGCGTCGCGCGAATTCGAACGCGCGGACGCGCGCCGAAGCCGTCGTGTCGTATGTCGCGCGCTCCGTTTCCCGGAGCTTAGTGCTCGCGCGCGCGCAAGTTTTCGCACCGGGAAAATCTTCCACAATCGGGAAAAAGTTGTGTCTCATCCTCGTCGTTTCCTCGACGATCGGATGAAATTTTGTTTTTTTCGCGAAAAAGATCGCGCGCGACTTCGAACCGCGAGTTTCACGCACGCGCGAGTACGAGCGATCTCGCGTGTCGTGATCACACGACCGCGAGTGAGAGGCTGTTTTGCTCGCCTCGAACGCGAAGGCGGGATATCACAAGGGTGTTGTTGTACGTGTGTGCGTGTGTGTGTGCGTGTGTGCATGTGTGTGTGTGATGGTGCAAGGTGGTGCATTTTCAAACAGCTTCTCAAAGATTCGCGTGATCGGATCGCGTTCTCATCCGAGAAATCGAATCTCGAAGGCAATAGCTGATGAGATACCACGGTGATAAAATTCATCTTTGTGTTTAACACAACGTGACGTTCAAGTGAAACACACACAAGCAGTGAGATATATTCTCTCCCGGGACACAGTAGTAGTCCCACAGAATCCGCAGTCATTCGATCTGATTTGGTGATAAAATACCGAGAGAGATTATTTTCTTCATTCATTAGCGAAACAGAGAGAAGACAAATTAGATTCGGTCAGGAAACTTTCTTAACGCCGAGCAAACTCGCGCTCGGATCATCAGAAGAGAGAGAGATCTGATCCGCGGCAAGGAACGACCGAGGGGAAAGGGGTGAAAGAAATGTCGTAATCATCCGAGGGCGCAGAGAAAGTGCTCGGACGGAATTTCGGCGCTTCGCTTTTATGGCGCGTTGGCGATCGAACGCTACCGAGGGGAAAAAAAAAAATAAATAAAAAAAAATATCCGAAAGCAATCACGATCGGAATGAATCTGCGCGAATCGATGATCAACGATGATGGATTATCCTCGAACAAATTGCCGTTGTTAGAAGTTTCTCCGAGTTTGTAAAAAAAACCCCCCCAAAAAAAAACCGAATAAAAAGAAAACCGCCGATCGTCGCAGCGCGTTTGTTTGTCTTCCGCGTGAGAAAATATTGTAACGAGAGTGCGTTGACTCTGTGGAGAAGAAGAGAGGACTCTCTCGTGCAATCTCCGCGCCGAATCCTTTCGCGTAGAATGATCATCCCGGTCGTGCCGAAGGCACGGAAGAAAAGGGAAGAGGAGGGCAATGAGAAGGAGGAGAAGCGGCGCAGCAGCTTGGCGTCGAAAAAGGAAAGCCACGCTGATCGTCCAGGGACTGGAAGACCTCGGCTTGTGTTGCACCTTAGCGAAGGCGTGTAGGCGCAACGAAGAAGGGACGAGGAGAAAGAGAGAAAGGGCGAGCGCGGGGGAAGAATACACAGATAGCGAAAGGGCAGAGAGAGGCCAGGAGGGCGAGGAGAAGAGAAACAAACGAGAGAGGAGAAAGAACGAGACGGAGAAACGAAGATACATACACCTGAGAAAGGAGAATTCGTAAATCCGCCCGTTTTTCGACCGACGACATCACTTTTCCGCATCCTGGATTTTCATTCAATCTTGAGTGAATTCTTTCTTACCTACTCCGTAGGTAGATCCTTTTCTCTGCGCGATTTATTTTTTTCGTCGTTCTTCTTCTTCTTGTTGTAACGCCGTTCGGTCGTGTTGCAAACACATTCGCGCCCATTGATTCTCAAACCGCCCGAACATTATATCCGACGTCGCTCGGGGGCAACATAAATATCTGCGTAGCGCGATCCCACTTCCGCAAGCCGAGATTGGATTCTCGCGCTGCCTCATGAGGCCCCTCTCCTTCGAGAACCTGAGGAGGCTCGTGGGTCGCAAGAAGGACCGCAACGAGCCCTCCTTCAAGCGCAGCGAGTCCTTCAAAAGAATCTCAATTAGGAAGAGCTACCTGGACCGGGGCAAACGACGTCAGAACCGTCTTCAAAAGAACACGGAATCCGCCACCGACACATCTACGACGCAACTCACGGTCAACGATCAAGACAAGATAATCGGTCCCGCTCAAATCAAGGAGCAAGAACCGAAGAAGAATCAAGAGCGTTCCCTGAGTCGAGACTCGATCACGTACGACGAGTGGCTTCAAGGTGTCAGCTTATCTTCCCGCGAGAAACTTCACGAGGATTCGCTCGAGGACTCGCTTCAGCGGTCCAAGGTCAAGGTCACCAAGCACATCGACGCGGATTCAATCGCCGACGATCTCAAGATCCTCGAGCTCGATGCCTCGCCTGTTTTATCGTCCAAACCGAAACCCTTCAGGATCGAGACCGCCGATGACGCTCGAAATGAAACAACCGATCATCACGATACTATTTGGACGTCGCATCAGGAATCCACGGCGGAGGCTCCGCCCAGTGTGCGAATTAGTCTCGGCAGGGTTTGGAGAGAAACGGTGCCGGCGCAGCCGGTCTCGGTACCGGCTTCGTATCCCTCCATCGCGAATTCGCCCGTTCACCGTTCGCTGGACAGCGCCCTGAAAGAAAAAAAACCGCAACCGACTGTCGCGAGGACGGTCTCGGCGCCGGAGAAGCCTGTCAGCAAGGATACGTCGTCGTCGTCGTCTTTCGGTTTTTCTCTCAGGATCGCCAAACTCGCGGACTTCCGGCAAGGGTGAGCGAGGTCTTGTTGATTTAAAAAACGATGGATCAGTGAAATCAAACGGAAAAGATTTTGTTAATCGATCGTAATAATTTTTTATCCTCAATTAATCTTTAATTAATTTTTTTTATTTAAAAGCTTTCACTTATTTTAATTTTTTCTTTTTTTTTGCTAAAAAGTATACGATAGTGTTTTTTTTTTTTTGAATAACTTGCGCGGTTGCGGACCTACCGCTAATTAAATTAAAGTCCGGATCTTATCTTGGTTGCGTAAGACGAAATAAATCAACGGGTTCGTCGAATTTTTGCAATCGGTTTCACTGATCGATCGGTGCTGAAATGTCGTTCGATATTTGAAGAGAACGTTCGATCGCAATTGCTGCGCTTGTTGCACTGCAGGGTGTCGCGGAACGGTCTCTTCCGTCGGAAGACGCCGAAACCATCGCCCAGCGTCAGCGCGGAAGGCTACTTCAAGCGAACGAGCGCGTCCAGACGCTCGAGTTCGCGTCGCCGTGGCAGCAAGAGAGGCTCTCAACGATTAAGCAAGAAGAATCATCAACCGGCAATTGCGGCTCGCGCCAACAGTCCCGTATTGTTCATCCCGCCGGAGAGACGTCGCTCGAGACGCCAGCGACGGGTCTGGCGCGAGATCAGATACTTCCCGGACGACGAGGATCTGATTCTCGAAAGGATCAACGACTGGTCGTCGAACGTGTCGGACGACCAGTTCGACGATCAGAAGCTTCTGCTGTCGGGCGACTTCAACGAACGCCGTGAAGATGACGCGTTCAATTCGATCGTCTCTTCGTCCCTGGGTTCCTTTTCGGCCACATCGTCCTCGTCGTCGGCCTGTCCGGCTCCGAAGATCAGCGATTTCAACGAGGACAAATTGTTCTCCGAGGAGCTGAGAACCAACGGGCTTCTGGCGCGCGGTACTACCTGGAAGCTTCTGGTGACAACGGCGACGAGGACGACGACGACGACAGCGTCAACGGCGACAGCGACGAGCGCGACGACTTCCGGAAATTACTTCGCCAGCAGTCAATTCCTCAGTTTTCTGGCCAAGGGCGTTGCGAAGGAGAGATCGAAGAACGAGAGCTCCAACACGGGCTACAGGTGCCTCTCGTCGACCGACAGCGAGGACGATGACGCCGATCGCTTCAACGAGCGCAATAAGAAGAACGTCAACTTTTCCCAGCAACGACAGCAACATCTGAAGAGACAAAAATCCGGAATCAAGAGAAGACCTCTGCGTCGAAAATCGCAGTTGAGAAGAGCGTCCGGTCAGCCGGTGTTCCTCGTGCGCAAGTGTTCGTCCTTGAGGAAACGTCCTAGTAAGGATCTGAACTGCGACAACTTCGCTCGGTAAAACCGAGAAAAACGAAAATAATTATTTATAACAATTGGTTTTTTATAACATTTGGTTTTTTCTTTTTTGTATCTTTTATTAATTATCAAAACAATTTGTTAACATGGAAACGACGAGGAAGTTTAACTTATATAACGTGTGCGCATATAATCCGCAGATTGTTCGGATCGTCACACGTTAGATTAGAACGGAACAACGCAATTGGAATCGCAGCGATTTACGACCGCTTTAACGTGTATCGCACATCTATCTATCCTCTGCTCGCGATTGTATTATTCCACGGGACGTTTATAATTGCGTAACGTTTTCCGCGATTGGTTTCGATGAGACTTCTTGCTCGATTACGAATCCTGCACGCTTGTTGCGATCGCGCGAGTTCATGAGAGATACATGTGTACACACACGTATATATCTCCCACCGTAGCTTTCGCTACCATTTCCTTCAAAGGCGCGATGACTTGCGCCGCGCATTCTTTTTTTTTTTCACACACTCGAACTGTGTAGATCACAATTTTTTCTTTCCACAACTTTCCCGAATTTAAAGTCCGCGTTTATTCTTTTTTTTTTTTACTTTCTGAACAAATTGAAGCCTTTCTCTCCGTTTGACTCCCGGTTCCGAGCGCGCTTTTTCCGAACAAATTGTCGCGCGCGTCGCCGATACACGATCGGCTGGTCTGGTTTTCCCATCGATATGACGTTGGGAATCGAAATATCGCGCGATTTAGCATAATCGCGGTGGCCCGGTTTCGTTTTGCGAACGTGGAAAAATCGTGTCTCGCGGCCGTTATGGGGATCGATTCTTCGACGTTTTCTCGAGTTACGAGGCGTGACGAAACGCGCGCACCAACCAGTTTTACATCGCGCGCGCGGGGCACGGCCGGGCCCCGCTGAGAGCCGTGTCAGCATCGGACCGCGCATCGGCACTCGAGCGTGCATTGATCTAAAATTCAATCCTGAAAACACCCGTTTGATTGCCACGGGTCGTTAATCACGGGTGTTTTTTTTTCTTTCTCTCCCTCTTTATACACTTTCCAGTTTAAATGGAAAAGGAGAAACGCGCGCGCACAAACTTGAAAAAAGAAAGAAAAAAAAATGAAGAACACGTGCTTCTCTCGCTAATTGCACAGAGCGCGATAATAAAAAAAAAATAAATAAATAAAATACAAGTTTATTATTAGAAAACACCGGAACTGTACAGACGCCGGAAAATTTATATTGCGGTACAACGCTCGCGCAATATTACGGCGCGAAATGTGTAATGTTGTATTACGCGGTTGAATGGAAATTACAACTCGCGCTGATTGGTCGTTTAATTAAATCATTAATTAAGTCACATTTCCCGTTGCAGGAGATATCACGCAGAAGGGTTATGAAAAGAAACGGACGCGCCTACTTCAGCCGTACATTTCGAAGCAGATAGGTGAGTGTGTTTCGCTTTTCTGGAATTCATTAAGAAATTCCCCCCAGCGGGGAGAGATAATCATCATCGTTATTATCGTCATCGCGCATTATATTCGCGCGATGCGCGGCGAACGAGAAGTTGGCCGATGTGAAAACGCATTACCGCGAGCATCTTCGCGCATTTTAATCGCCGCCGCATGTGCATTCTGATCGATCATTTACCGAGAAGCTAGTGTCGTTTTGTTTATTTAAAAAAAAGCTTCAACCAGGGGCTTTTCACATTAATGTTCTCAGTTTTTTTTTTTTTTTTTTTGGAACTAACTTCATCGCACATCATTTAATCTACGGATATAGATTGTTTCAATTGTGTTTGTTTTCCGCGTGTAGTAAAAAAAAAAATATATATATATATATATACAATCGGCGAAGTGTCATCGCGACAATTAAGCAATATCCCGTCGTCGGAGGACGATGGGAAAAAAACAATTGCGCGGTTTCTAACTCGCAAGAGGGTTCTTATCCCTACGTCGCATCTCTTGGCGTGTGCGGAGCGTTGCGCCATCGGGAACGAAAACGAGCTCGCAATATCAATCGCGTTCCGATTCTCAAGCGACATGCGCCTCATTGTGTGCACAGCGCGGCGAACGCGCAATACCGTACGTATATACACTATAATAAATGCTGTATGTGTGTAAAAGGAAGGCACACGAAGCGCAATCTTCGCGGCACGCGTCGGTTTTACACTTGTAAACACACGTTGCACACACGAGCGAGGCGACGCAACCGTTCCCGGTTGCGCCACGCGAGTTTAGCGCGGGAACGCACCGAGAGATAAAATTGCGATATCAAACGCGCGCGCGCGCGCGTGTGTGCAACACCGCGTGGTATTTTTTTCTATGTATTTATTTTTTTTTTTATATAATTTTCTCGCTCGTCGCGTATCGATTCGATCGATTTCGCACTTTGTACGAAAATTCTCGGTAGACTTGTCAGACATCTCGTCGACATTTAAATCGTCGACGTTTCCGCGTCGTTTGTCGCGAAACGCCGAAGTGTAACGCCGGACGGAGTCGTATTACCAACCGTTACAGCGCGCGACTTGTCGCGAGATTCGCGTCTTATCGCGCGGCAAATTACCGGAGACGGGAGGAATTGCCGACCACGTTTCAACGCGTCATTTGTGTCGACGAAAGAAATTTATTTCTCTAAGGTCTGCTACTTCTGTCCGTCTCTTTCGATCTCTCCGATTATATCTACCGATTTAAATCTTTTGCAAGTACATTTTGCGACTTCATTTCCGATGATCATAAATTTATTTTAACGCATTGCGAGATACGCGCATAAAGATGTTAAAATATAATCCAGTGTCGTATATATATATAAAATACACAGATCGATCGACGCAATCGTTATCGGGGATCGCGCGTTGCAAGAACGACGAGAATTGAAATGCGGTTATTTAACGCGCGTTAAAATAAAACCCGTTTGTGTGTGAAATTTTTTAATCGCGTTACCGTTCTCTTCGCGAAGAAGAGGCGCTCTTGGCTCGCTCGTCCCGCGCGCATAGGTTGGACGCGCCTTTGCGCCCGCAGCTGCTATCGGGTAGAACGCCGCTGCAATCGGGGCTCGCAAGTTTAACTGTACCTGCACGCGGAAGAAGCGCTTCCGCGTTATCCGCTCGTTATATGCTACGTGCATCTGCCATTGTCGTGAGTTCGAAGGCATAGCGACAGTTTTCTAGCCGCGAGTCGAGTAACGGGAAAACACACTTTTAACATTAATCTCCTTCCGAGAGAACGCGATTTCAAGCGGAAAAAAAAAAATATATAATAACGCCTGTCTTGCACAAAATTTTGCGCGAGAGAGAAGCGAAATGAATCATCATCATCGTTGTAACAATAATTGCAACCGCCAACGATGCGTCGTAGAGTCGCGCGAGCGCGCGCGGTGTGGTATTTTTAACTATCACGTTTTTACACACACCACAAACACCACGCTATTATACATCCAAGAGGAGTTGCTTATATATACCATTATTACCCCGCGCGTAATCACTTTCACCCGTAATTCGCACAAAATAAATATTCGCCGCTCCGTTTCTCAAGTTGCAACGTAAAGTTTTATATATTTCGTATCGGCAAAAAAAAAAAAAAAATAGATCAATTTCCGATGAGTCGCGAGAGATGGAAACAATTTTTTGCGAATAACAATCACGCGGTGACAAAACGTGAGAAAACGAGAATAGCGAGTATTTAAGAATCGAAAAAAAAAAAAACAAACAAACAAACAAACGGCTGCACCCGGCTCTGTGCATTCTCTCTGTGCGCCTGTGTGGACCGTAGGGGCTGGAAATGGTGGTGTCGGTGGTGGAGGTGGCGGCAGCGGCGGTAGAGGGCTGGAGAGAACGGGTTACGGAAGCGGCGGAGGTGGCGGAGGAGATGGAGGAGGAGGAGGAGGAGGAGGCTATGGCGGTGGCGGTCGACCGCAGCCACGTGCACGGCGCACGCAACGGCGCGTCACGCACAACGAGAAGCGCTATCACTCAGGTAGCGCCACGCAACTGCGCGATGTGTATGCCGGCGATCTATGCGCGCCTTCAGAACGCGACGAGAAAGCTCGTTTTCCTCAGCTCGTTTTTTTTTCTTTTTTTTTTTATTGATTGAGTGTCTCGCAATTTTTGCTTCTGTGATATTTTTCCAGTATACCTGTTATTACAGCTTTGCCACTTTAATTCTGGGAATTACAATTAGATTGTGTCTTACGATAATTAGATAATTAGATCGATTAGACTTCCTAATTAGATTAGAATGCGTAGCGTTTTTGTTTCTTTTTTTTTTTTTTTTGAATCGCGTCACATTTCGTTCCGTCGTTTCGTTTCACGTCACGCGAATGACATGGTTGTTTTTGTCTCTTAGAACGCACCAGTAACGCGTTAGAAATTAGAAATTGTCTCTTAAGATAGTTTTTTTTTTCTTTCTGTTTTTGTTCAAAAAAAGTACTGTAAACCTGTACTTGTCGAAGTGAGATGATCATCAATCGTCGCTTCTGATCTGTTTTGCATTCTCCGACTTGACGACAAAAAAAAAAAAAATAGAAATTTGGAATGACGATTGTACTTGTCCAATTTTGTTGCTTTCCGCGCGCAATGGAACAACGGGTTGTTGAAGAACGGTCCTCTTGCGCGAGAACACACGGAACGGAGTCCGTTTTGCCTGTACATACGTTTTTTATCTTCGTGTGTTGGTCTTGCGCCTGCTTACTTTACTCCCTTGTGTCTCGCGTGTGTTGCCTCGAGACGCTTTTGCACCTTTAGATACCTTTGTAATTTGACATAGCCAGGCGGTAGCCGAGACCGGTTGTTCCACCTTCGGGTGACTCAAGATTGCAGCCAGCCAGCCGGCCGGCCTGCCTGCCTGCCTGCCTGCCTGCCTGCCTGCCATCCATCGGCATTCTCGCTATTCAACCGACTGCGTCACGGTGTCCGCGCGAGCGGCGCAACACCTCGACCATTTTTTTTCCGACTTGTCGTCGTCCCTCTTCTCCCCCTCTTTCCCGCTCCCTGGTCCAATAGAGATTATACTTCCTTCGATATACATTGCATACCACGGAGATATCTGTGTACACTTGCAAGATTACGTCGCACGGATAGGAATTCTCTCGGATATATCACGGAATCTCGTCGAGAAAGACGCGCACACGTTGCGGCCGTCGATCGCCTCTCACTTTCGTCAGACGAAGCAAAAAACGCGGCGACACAGGACGAACCCTCTGGTAGGACGTTTTTTTTTTCAATTTTTTTTTTCAATTTTTTTTCCTCAATTTTTTTTTAGCTATTGAATTTTTGCGCGTCGAAAATTCGCGACTACATACGTGCGTACATTATTCTCCGCGAAACAGAATCACGCCACCACGCGCGAACAACCGGCCCTCCGCCTCCTCCGACCCTCTTTGCACCGAGCCGTACGGACGATCGATACGAGTCGCATACTCTCTCTCTCTCTCTCTCTCTTTCTTTCTCTCTCACTCACTCACTCACTCACTCGAGTCGCAGCATCCCTGATGGTGGAATGACCAGTCGTCAGTGGCGCACAATTAAGCGGTTACCTCGCATCCGGATAAATAACACCCTCTGTGTACATCGCGCGGCATCGCCGGGGAATCGAGCGAACGAAGCCCCCAAGAGAGGGACCCCAAGTACTTAGAACCGCTTTGGAGAAACGCCGGGAGAAGATCCGCGGACTCCTTGACCCTCGCGGTCGTTTCGAGAGTCCTCGGGGCTCGGCGCGGGGATCCACGGGAGAGAATTCTGCATCTGTTTTCGAGAATCGCGTTAACGCGAACGGAGAAGAGAGACGAAAACGAACTTTTCGTAAAAAGTTTCGGACGAAACGTCTGTTGAATTGAATTTTGTACGATAAAATTTGGAAAAAATAATTTTTTTTTTTTCAAAAACTTTCGCTCTTCCTCTCGTATAATATTTTGGATTTTCCCCGCTTCTCGCTGAAATGTCATCAGAATCTCGTCGAGATTTACTTATCGCGCGCGATCGATCGCAGCGAATTTTGAAACGCGCCAAATTCGCAGAAATGTTCGCTGATGTTCGGATGCGACGAAACTGGGAGGAAAAGCCAAACGACGACGACCGCGACGACAAAAACGACGACGACGACGACGACGACGACGACGACGACTGGGCGCCTTGTTGCAGCCAGTTGTATCCTCGTAGCGTCCCTTTTCTTTGTCTATGTGTCGTTGTTTGTTGTTGTGTTGCATGCAGGCGGTCGGCTTGTGCCTGGCGGGATCGCCAGTCCCCCGGGATCTGGCGGCTCCACAGGGAATACCGGGAACTCGGCTGCGGCAGCGGCAGCGGCGGCGGCTGCGAGACGCGGCAATCGCAGACTAACGCGCAATGAGAGCCGCTATCATTCCGGTGAGTATACACACGCAACAAACTTTCGGGGAGGGTGGTTGAACGGATGCTGGGGGATAATTATTCGGGACTGTCTCACACACAACCAGGTGTGTAGCGAAAGTACGTACTAAGACAATCTCTTTCACACTGAAACGACGTTTCAAATATCAAATCGTTTCTAATACAATTTTTTTCAAGCAGAAAATAACGAAAAAAAAAAAAAAAATAGAAATCGCATAATCCGATTGATAACTTTAAGCCGCACATTTTTATTTACAAATGTTTTCCACTTGAAAGTTTCACACATATATAGCTTGCTCGACACACACACACACACACGTACGTAAAAAACACACCCCCCACACACCACTTTGCCCGAGTAAAATGTCGTAACGCATGACCGAGAAAAGAATCTACGTCGTGTTCGTTCGTCGGAAGCGCCGATACAGAGAGGCTTATTTATCTTAACGCAAAGTGCAGGTAATCATCCACCTGGTGTGTACCGTTACCACGGCCGATGACGGATTGTACATTATGGAATATATACACTCGGACAAAGTCTCGGGAACACACGTTCGAGTCTCGATAGACTCTCTTACACGTGACTCGAGTCAAATTCGCGCGGTCAAAAAAAATTAAGCGTGTAAAATATGAACACGATCGCATAGCGGAACGCGTACGACAACTATGTGTGATACAAATATATTGTACATTTTGTTGTTGCTTGTTAATTTTATTCAAAAAATGTCAAAATTAACGAACCGTTCTCCGCGAAAAGTAATTTAATTGGTTTCACGAGCGAAACGGTTTGCTGCTTTTTTTTTTCGCGTTAATCAGCGGAATATACGTTTTTTGAAACGTGCGAAGGATATGACTGCAAATTAAGTTTCACACATCTCTCTCGCGAGTGACGGCACAGAAAAGAGCCTCATTTATCTCGATGCGGAGGAAAAATTCACATGTGTGATGTTTCTCTCGCGCTTCTGACGTCACAATGTATATAAGCGGCCGTACACGCGCGCGACGTCCGTTCAAGTAACTTTAATTCGACTCTTCAACCTTTCCATTAGTTTCCTCCCGTCTTTTACTTTTTATTTTTATTTTTATTTTATTTTTTTTTTTTTTTTATAATCCTCTCTGTATCGTGCGCACACGTACGCACACAGATCGCCGGGTCGAGATTGCACGATGCGCGCGTTATGCATGAGCGCGCGCGTGCGTATATTAAATAATGTTGGAAAATGATGAAACGGACGATGACGCGGAAGCCGGAGGTGGATGTGAAAAATGTCATCCGCGTTGTCGCACGTCCGCGCTCGTCTCATACGCTCGAATGAATCAATTCCCTTCCCGGCTTGCAGAGGTGCGCCAGGAGGCGGTGCAGCAGGCGTTGGCGGCGATGCAGGGCAGACCGAAGCCATCCTTACCGATGCCGTCTAAGAGAACATCCGTGATGGCCAGGAGCCCCGATCGGGAGAGACGCGACAGCGGCGAGTCCAGCAGCGATGAGGACAGTGTCGTCACCGAGGAGAGTCCTGGCGCGGGTGGACCGACTGGTGCGTATCAATCGCAATCGCGTAAAGTAAAATAATCACAGGGGATCTCGGGTGCGAGTTAGACCTTCGTAAACAAAATGAAAAATTTATTAACGGCCCGTATGTGTAATCTCCCGCATATGTGCTGGAAAAAAAATGTAACAAAACCGCGCACAACCGCCGTGTGCGCGCACTCACAAGCGTCATACGACTTCACGCTGCACGACGGGCGTCGCATGTCCTTGGCCACTTCCGCCGGACGACGAACGTACCAATAATCAATACGCATTATTGTTTTCTTTTCTTTGCGTACGGATGGAAAAAGTGGTCGGTGACTGGAACGGAGAAACGTGAAGGAAGTCGCGCGCGTGACGTCGTGATGATCACCTGAGGCGAATTGTCCGCTATGTGCGCACAATATAACGATGATCAGGTTTAGTTATCTTATTGTTGTTACCGCAACCAAGGTACCGGTCTTTCCGACACCAGCAGCACCGGCTCCGCTCGCGACACCCCACCGCCGCCGAGGCCGCCGGCGAGAAGGCCGCCCGGCGCCGATATCACCGATATCGCCGAGTACACGCCGCACGCTTACTGCAACATTCAGCCACCGGACGTTACCCATGTGACCAGCAGCACGCCGGTCGGGCAGCAGCAGTCGGCGACGCGACGACCCGGCGCCGACCGGGTGAATCGTTACACACACGTGGTCGAGGATCAGAACAGCACCGGCACAACCGGCCGCTGGAAGGTCTCAGCGAAGATCCAACAGCTGCTGAACACGCTTAAGCGGCCGAAACGCCGACCGCTGCCGGAGTTTTATGAGGACGATGACATTGAACTGGAGATCGCGGCGAATCCGAAGGATCCGAACGCCCCGAAACCCGAGGGCGGCTCCATGACGTCGGCAGTGGGCGAAGCGCTGTCAGTGCCGTCGGGCTTGCCTCGATCTCTCGAAGCCGCCATTCAGAGGTGAGCTGCAATCGTGATTTAATGTTGATATATTGCGCTTACCGAGATGAGATTTTGTCGATCCAACGATTTATGTAAAATTTTACGTCCAGGTACGGCTCGGCGACGTACAAAGCACCGGTGGCCACTGTTCTGGACCCTAACGGCAAGCTCTGCGTAACGCTCACTTATGGGAAGTTGCTAAGTCGCTCTCATAAGATCGCCTATACACTTCTGAACAAGGCTCTAAGTCGCGGCGGCGATTGTTGCCTCAAACCCGGCGACAGAATCGCTCTGGTTTACCCGAACAACGATCCGATCAGTTTCATGTGCGCCTTTTACGGCTGTCTTCAGGCCGGCATTGTGCCAGTACCCATCGAGGTTCCTCTAACACGCCGTGACGCGGGTTCTCAACAGATCGGTTTCCTTCTGGGAAGCTGCGGAATTCAGGTAAATAGAGCGCTCGCTCGCCTTATCCGTCGAACAACATTCCTTTCTATATTTGCATGTTCAATTAGCGAGACCGTACGGTCTCGCGATTTGCATTGCAATTTGCATTGATTGCGACTTGCAGCAACTTGTTGACTTGTCTCTTATCTGACCTTGAAGATCGAAAAACCAACTACGTAGTTTTTTTTTTTTGCATTTTTAGGTGGCGTTGACCAGTGAAGCGTGTTTGAAGGGTCTGCCGAAGACGGCGGCCGGTGAGGTGGTGGCCTTCAAGGGCTGGCCGAAACTCCACTGGTTTGTCACGGAACATCTGGGCAAAACGCCCAAGGATTGGCTGCCGCCGCCAAGGCTCACTGATGACACGCCCGCTTATATCGAGTATACCACTGACAAGGACGGTTCTGTGATGGGCGTAACCATCACCAGGGCGGCGATGATGGCCCATTGTCGCGCTCTCACGCAAGCTTGCGGTTACACCGAGGGCGAAAACGCCGTCTGTGTGTTAGACTTCAAGCGAGAGGTCGGCCTTTGGCACAGCACATTGACCAGTGTGCTGAACGGCATGCACGTTATTTTTATCCCGTACGCCCTGATGAAGGTCAATCCTGCCAGTTGGATGCAAATGATTACGAAACATCGCGCCAGTGTTGCTGTGGTGAAATCGCGGGATCTTCACTGGGGTTTACTGGCCACCAAGGATCATAAGGATGTTTCCTTGGCTACGTTGAGGCTTTTACTCGTCGCGGACGGCGCGAATCCATGGTCTCTCTCGTCCTGCGATCAGTTTCTTTCAGTATTTCAATCTAAGGGACTCAGGCCAGATGCTGTTTGTCCTTGCGCTTCTTCTAGCGAAGCTCTCACTGTCTCGGTGAGGAGGCCAGGACGCGCGGGAGTGAACGCAACTGGTCGTGGAGTTCTTTCCATGTCCGGACTGAGTTACGGAGTCGTTAGAGTAGATCAAGAAAATTCCTTAACGTCGTTGACGTTGCAGGATTGCGGCCAAGTTATGCCTGGAAGTGAGTTTTTTTTTCTATCCGCGATTCTCAGTACATTTTTTGTCGTGTTCGTGCGCGAAGCATTTTTAATAAGAGATTATTCTCTTTTTTTTTCAGGCGTAGTGGTCGTCATTAAAATGGAAGGACAACCATTCATTTGTAAGACGGACGAGGTTGGTGAGATTTGCGTGCACAGCGCAGCGACAGGTAGTCAGTATTGGGGACTGCAAGGACTCACCAACAATACGTTCAAAGTGTCGCCTTTACAAGCTGACGGTACTGCTTTGGGTGACGTGGAATATACACGTTCCGGTTTGTTGGGTTTTCTTGGTCCTGGAGGTCTCGTCTTCGTCTGCGGATCGCGCGACGGTCTTATGACAGTAACTGGCAGAAAACACAACGCTGACGACATCATCGCCACTGTGCTTGCGGTTGAACCGATGAAATTTATCTATCGCGGTAGAATCGCCGTTTTTAGTGTAAGAGTTCTCAGAGATGAAAGGATATGCGTCGTTGCAGAACAACGGCCCGATTGTAGCGAAGAAGAGGTGCGTTTCGAAGTTATTTATTTATTTATTTATTTATTTTTTCTATAGAAAACTTATTTTTCAACAAAGAAATCGTGTTTATATATTATCATGTTGGATTTAAAAAGACGCGTTTAAAAGTTTCTTGTTTAATTTTCGCAGAGCTTCCAGTGGATGTCTCGAGTGCTACAAGCTGTCGATTCGATTCACGCGGTAGGAATATACTGCCTTGCCTTAGTGCCACCGAACTATTTGCCCAAAACGCCGCTAGGCGGGATTCATCTGTCGGAAACAAAACGCCGCTTTCTCGAAGGCGCTTTACATCCAGCAAATGTACTACTTTGTCCTCACACTTGCGTCACGAATTTGCCGAAACCGCGCGAAGTTCATTCAGGTAAGTAAAGTAGATTTTAGCGTTCGGTGTCGCGCCGATATCTTTCGAAAACTGGACGGATATCGGCGTGAATTCGAATAACACGGAAAGTTCGTGAAAAAAATGCTGGAGCGAGCATTTTTTCGCGAAAGTGTAAAGAAATGTTTTATATATCCAACATAAACACATGGATGTTACAACTAGCTGGCTATGAGTTAAAATGTTGACGGGTAAATACACGGGTTAGAGGGTAAGAGAACAGGAGAGAGCGAAAGAATGAATGTGAAAAGGGAGAGGACTAGCGAGAGATAAAAAAAAAAACAAAAAAGGAATTGATATTGATAATTTACAAATGTCACTCTTTTTAGAATCTCCTAATTAGCATCAAGGAAACTTAACTCTCATGCATCTGTATAAACTTTTGTTGGTAGGCCTCAGGAATCTGACATATACCTTGCATGGTGTAATGTCCTCGGTTCCAATACGGAGCGTCTCAAAGTAGATGTGTAATGTAGATGTTGTAACACTTGAATATATTTATTATTTCACAAAGATGTCTTTAATAACAAATATGCAAAGTATAGTGAATAATTAAATATAAAGTTTGGTTTTACGCAACACACTACGTAATAAAATTCTCTACTTTTAAGTGTGTGTTTTATAATATATATACACATTCTTTGAGACACTGCAGAAAGTACGTGATAACTTTGTGTGACTGTTTTGTCAAATATTTGCGTGAAGAAAAAACGTGAAGTTATCACATGTTCTGTATTCGATTAACCAACCCCTTATACAGTTAACTACTCATGCTTAGCATGTTATTTTATTTGGTTATTCTTCTTTTTTTTGGCTGAGTTCCGAACCACCCCCCCCCCATAGCGTCCCAATATAAAATACAAGCATAATTAATTTTTATTAGCGGCTGGAGAAAATCTTTTTCTTTTTTTTTTTTTTTAAAGCTTCTTACAGAATCCAGTGCTTTCCTGTACTTTTTTTTTTTTACTTTTACGTCGGTACCTCAACGCAAATCAGTTTGAGATCTGTGAAATGTTAATTTGTGTTAAGAAACAAAAGAGATGCATTCTCGGGAATTTGCGAGCATCCATGGATCCCAAGATCCATGAAATCCGCTTTAAAGTGGAACAGGAAGGCCCATGCGAACGCTTGTATAGTCGGCTCCGATGGCGAGAACCAGATTGCTCTAGTTTTGATTTTCCGGCCTCAGTCAGGGGAGAGTGTGTGAGCTACTCATTATTGGGTTGAGTGTTTGTGTTGGTTTACTAACGGAATGGTGCGGGGGCGTGTAGCGGGGGATTCTGTTTCAGATGTCGGCCCGGCCAGTGTCATGGTAGGCAACATCGTTCAAGGTAATCGACTGGCCTCGGCGCAAGGACGAGACATGGGTGTTCTAGATGAGGATAGCGACAACGCCAAAAAGGTTTGTGAAAAAGGTTGTTTTCGATCAAGTTGAACGTTTTCGTAACAATTTAGATTCTGTTTTATTGTTATAGAATTGTTTGTTGCTGGTTTTTTTTATATTCTTTCCATTATACTTTCGTATTATCTCTTTCAGTATCAATTTATCTCAGAAATTCTACGATGGCGAGCTGTCAGCACTTCGGATCACGTGATATTCACATCGTTAAATGCGAAGGGCGCTGTTGCGACCTCGTTGTCCTGCTCGCAGCTGCACAAAAAAGCTGAGAGGATCGGAAATCTGCTTCTGGATCGGGGAAGAGTCAACACCGGGGATCACGTGGCACTTATATTTCCACCTGGTACGGATCTGATATGCGCGTTTTACGGTTGTCTGTATGTGGGTGCCGTGCCGGTGACTATCAGGCCGCCGCATCCGCAAAATCTACAAACGACTCTGCCGACCGTTCGCATGATCGTGGATGTCAGTAAATCCGTTCTCGTGCTGACTAACCAAACTATCATGAAGTTACTGAAAACAAAGGTAACCAGAAATACACTTGACGATGATGTAGTTAAAGAAATAATGCAACAGTGAGGGAATATACGCGATGGAATATCGTTTCTTTTTTTTTGCCACGCAGGAGGCAAACAATGTGGTCGACGTGAAGAGTTGGCCGATGATTCTGGATATGGACGACATGCCAAAGAAGAAGCTGCCGGTTATGTATCGGGCGCCCACCGCGGAGATGCTGGCCTATCTGGACTTCAGCGTGTCGACAACGGGCATGCTCGCCGGCATCAAGATGTCCCACGCGGCTGTAACTTCGTTGTGCCGCGCCATGAAACTGGCATGCGAACTCTATCCCTCCAGACACATAGCACTCTGTTTGGATCCCTATTCGGGTCTCGGTTTCGCTCTGTGGTGTCTCAGTAGCATATATAGCGGACATCATTCTATATTGATACCACCGTCCGAGGTGAGGTTTTATTTACGCTTGCGGTTTGTAAGATTTTTGTTCTTGAGAAGTTTGTTTTGAGAAGCAATTGTTTCGTTTAGGTGGAAGCCAACCCCGCGCTCTGGCTATCGGCAGTCAGCCAGTCTAGAGTTAGAGACACGTTCTGTTCGTATGGCGTGATGGAGCTGTGTACCAAAGGACTCGGCTCCTCGGTTCATGCGCTCAAGGCACGGGGTGTTAGTCTGGCTTGCGTTAGGACGTGCGTCGTCGTCGCAGAGGAGAGGCCACGAATAGCGTTAACGACGAGCTTTAGTAAATTATTCTCCGCTCTTGGTCTGAGCCCACGTGCAGTTTCCACTTCATTCGGCTGCAGAGTAAACACTGCCATTTGCTTACAGGTAAAATCGATTTGTGTGGAATAACTTTATTTTGACTCAAAAAATCCGTTTAACAAAATATTCGTTTTATTATTCTCTCGATTGTATTTTGACAGGGGGCATCCAGTCCGGAGCCCTCGACAGTCTATGTGGATCTTCGCGCGTTACGAAACGACCGGGTGTCGTTGGTGGAACGCGGCAGTCCGCACTCTCTGTGCTTGATGGAATCGGGCAAACTGCTGCCTGGCGTGAAAGTGATCATTGCCAATCCCGAGACCAAGGGTCAGTGCGGCGATTCGCATTTGGGCGAAATCTGGGTGCAGTCGTCGCACAACGCGAGCGGTTACTTTACGATCTACGGGGATGAGAGCGATTACGCGGATCACTTCAACGCGCGTCTAGTCACCGGTAACACGAACGAGGTCTACGCGAGGACCGGCTATCTCGGTTTCTTGAGGAGAACGGAGAGCGTTCAGCAATCGGTGATCAGCGACGTGCCAAGTGACACCACCAACGCCGAGGCGGATCTTGTGCCGAACGATCCGGAGCTTCATGACGCCGTATTCGTTGTCGGCGCCCTCGACGAGGCCATATTACTGCGGGGTATGCGATACCACCCGATAGATATTGAGAATAGCGTCATGCGATGTCACAAGAAAATCGCGGAGTGGTAAGTTTTTTTGTATTCGAATATAATTTCAAGTCTATTTTTACACAATTTTAAATTATTAATGATGCTGATTGTAATATTGATGATTTAGTTAGCCAATGAACGTTGTTTCTTTTTTTCAGCGCTGTATTTACATGGACCAACCTTCTAGTGGTAGTGGTAGAGTTAGACGGCAGCGAAAGTGAGGCTCTCGATCTCGTGGCTCTGGTGACGAGCGCTGTGCTCGAGGAGCATCATCTTGTAGTCGGCGTGGTAGTTGTAGTAGATCCCGGAGTGGTGCCCATCAATTCTCGCGGCGAGAAGCAACGGATGCATTTGCGCGACGGTTTTCTGGCGGACCAGCTCGATCCTATCTACGTGGCGTACAATATGTGAACGAGTGTGCGAGAGAAGATTTTTCCTTGTGTATTCCGCCCTCCTTCCCATCAGTGGTTCTTATCCGACGTGCTAGGGCCGCAGTGGAATTCCATTTCCGACGACAATTTGCATCGAACACGGTAATGAGACAAAGCGACAGAGATTGTCAGCAGCGATTTTGTTTTTCTTTTCTTTTTTTTTTTTTTTTTGTTTTTTTCGCTTTTTTTTACACACAAACCCGTTTTATAAGAAAGAACGTATTTAAAAAGTTTCTGTTTTAAAAATCTTTTGTGTTAAAAAATTTCTTTTAGACTTGATATTTCTCATGTATCACAGAGCGATTTTGCCAATTTTTTTATCTTCCGAACTTGTTCGCACAAAAAACCACACCAATATTCTAGACTTACCGACGATTTATTATTTACTTTTAAACAATTACAACTCGCGCGAAGCGTGATTATTCGAATAATAACGCGTGTAAAACGCGAATGAACATTTCGATCAATGGAGTTCTACTGTACCGTTCTTCAAAGAACGTTAACGTACTCCGGCAGTGTGAATGTTATCGGCAAAAAAAAAAAAAAAAAAATACATTTGTGCGAATTCGACGCATTTTTAAGGAAGCCCAACTGCCATAAATTCTCAAAAAGATTGAATTTGAAAAAAAAAATAATAATAATAATACCACATTACATATACGTATATGATACATAACGAGATAGAATAATCGATGACGAATTGCGACGTCAAAGTGTGGGAGAGACAAATGATAAATTTTCGCTGCTCATTGCCGCTCCGATTACCCGAAACAATTCATCGCAAAACGCACACTGTATACCCGTCTACCCCATCGACAGTTCTACACACGACATTAAGATTCGCGGTGTTAATTAAGATTCGGGAACTGCTCGTTTGTCTTTGTTTTTTTTATTTTTTTTTTTTATTTTTTTTTTATTTATTTCGGCAGTGAGATCTAAGTAGCCGTAAAATCCTCTGACATTCAATTCTCTCAAGTCAATATGTCAGGCTGCGACACGCACAGCATCGACGCGATTTCGTACGTTTGTATTAAGTAACGCTATAGATATAAATTCTAAACGTTTTTTTTTTTTTTTTAGCTGTAATTAATATCGCGAAGAACAGAGTCTCCTTTTATTGACGAAAAAACAACGAAGAAGAGTTTCGTTTTTCGCGAAAGCGAAATTCCATGAATTTACGAGATAAATTCGCGTTTGTCGTCATTATTTTTTTTTTTTTTAAGATCGTCAATCATTCGTAAGAACGTGTTTTTCAATGAAAATCGCAATTTTTGAAGATCCAATCGAGTGTCTCGGGCGAGTTTTTGTTCTCTTGATTTTTTTCACCCGCACAAATAAAATAATTACGAAACAAACGAGACCTCGCACACAAGAGGACTTTCTTCACTCACGAATTTTTTCGACGGACATTGTACAATTGTTGATAGCTCTTTTTAATTTTTATATTCTTATTTTAACACACATGACAACACATATACGTACGGCGCCCAGAGCGCATATTGTTACGACTATATATTGCGACTTATATTGAGACTTTGCGATTATATACAGATGATCATGTGTGTGTTGTTTGTCGCGCGTATAAAGAACCGCTGTGTATATTACGAATGTTATGATATCAAAGAAAATATTATAAATTACATATCTCTATAGCAAAATGATTTTACTACACTTTACAACGCTTATTTAAAAAATTGCAAATATTATTTCTACTCTCATATACTTCTCGCATATTTTTTTTTTTTTTTTATCTCCGAGTCGACGAGATTGACTTGAAAAAATCGGAAAAATTGTTCTGTTAAAAAATACAAAATTTTTATCGTCAAAAAATTTCAGGCATCAGTTTTTTTTACGTCAGTTTACTTTCGTACATTTACACTAGAGTGCGATTTCAGTATCCACACACACACACACACATACATAAACGATGCAGCAAGTATATAACATTTATATAATGACGAATTTTGTCATCAGTACAATATACGCACGGCATAGTGATTTGTAATCTCGCTCGCGAAATATATGACGATTAATCGTATTGCATACCGGACTCTCTCGATGGCTGTTCATTCGGACGGCTTTTATGTTTTTTTTTTTTTTTTGTAAATACGTAAATCCAAGAAAAAGCGCGTTTCTTCTCTCCCTCCCACACACGTGCTCCTATTGCCGCGTTCGTTCGCTCTTTCGCGCGTTCTCACGGCTATACATCCTCATTTTTATCATCCATCTCCTCTTTATTTTATTGTTAAGCTATCGTGCCATGTCACCCTATGCGTTACTTCTGCACTTTTACGCACGGAAAAACATACACATACGACCGCAAAATAGCCGCAATTTGCACACACACACACACACAGGCTCGGTTGCACTGATAGCCTCAGTTAATTAACTGTCATTAGCGTGTGTTGCGTCAATTTTTACATTTTATACACACGTTTAGTCGTTTAATTTATTATCATAGCTATGTCATATCATTTAAGAATTTGCAGTAACACACAGTAGAGTAATACACGGAGAGGGCAAGTTTTTTTTTTTTTTTTATCACAGTTATTATCTTCATCGTCTTAGTTAATTAGTTTATCACAATGATCTCATACATCTTGCTCCATCGGTTGTTTTCTGACACACCTAATGTACAATCTGTCTTTCTATGTTTTAGCGAAACGAACTAATAATAGATCTGTTTAGTGTTTGTGGTAGACGATTCTTTCCGATTCTGTTTCTTTTTTTTTTTTTTTTTTTGTTTTTGTTTTAAGAATAAAGCCAACGGTCTCGGTTAATTGACATTATTAGTGCAACTGGCGCTTTAAGTACATTAAGAAACAAACTTTTAAGGATGTGTGAATCAGATTTTCCAGAGAGAGAGAAGGAGAGAGGAAGGAGAGATCGGGCGCGCGCGACTCGCATTTCTCGTCGTGCGTGTATTGCTTTTACGAAATATCGTTTTGTCGATTTCTCTCTCTGCAAAGTCTGATTCAACCGCGATTTATCTCAAATTTTTGCGAACGCATTGTTGCAACAAATGTCGCGCCTCGAAATTCAGAAACTCTGCGATCTTAAGTTTTTTCAATAGTTCGCTCGTGAAATTGTCTTAAGTTTTTTTTTTCACGGGGAAATTACACAATCGCGTAGGAAATTTGCTCGTCTCTGGAACACATATACGCAAAGACGAATGTGACGGTAAACTCGTGACAAATGTTAGAGTCAAACATGTGTCGAGCACAAGAGATGATCGCGTTTGCGAAGATTCTGGATTTTGAGGCTTTTTTTTTTTTTTTACACGTCGAGTCTGTGAGAGACCGTGTCGACCGATATCTTTCTCCGTGCGTGGAAGAGAAAATGTAGTACACACACACACACACAACACACAGATGCCTCTTTGAGAGGGAAAAAAAAAGTGAGGATTGTGCAATGAATGATTTTTACACTTGAACAAAAGGCGGCTGTTATAAAACTTGTAGTAATGTGCGTCGATTGTATTAAGAAGAAAACGGAAGATCGTTGGATCCGACAACATTTTTGGATCCACGATTACTCCGGACGGATTCTTCTTCCGAATCCTCCGGCGTGGATTTGCGTGTGTGGTTTACAGGTGTATATCCTCCGTACATACATATTTTAACCCTTTCGCGCGTTACATTACGTAACGATACGCGTAAACATTTTTGTAAGAACTTTGCAACACACAAGTACGTATTTTGAAACTATAAATCGTAAAAAAACTCACACACACACACACAATCGTAGATACCATTTATAAGGGCGAAAGGGTTAAGCAGAGCGTTGATTGATTAAAAACCGGTTGTTGGATCCGCGGATTCTCTTGCAAAGCCTCCTCGAGAGTTTGTGTCCTCCGCGTCCGGAAACATTTTATCAAAGCGCGTGTATGCGTGACTATAAAAAACTCATTAGCACCCGAGGTCTCTTCGCGTTAAATGTAATAATCTTAGTGGAGAAGAACAATTTGGTTTATATATATATATAATAACAATAATTATATATTAATAATAATACTAATATAAAGGAACGGAGGACGAAAAGACGGAAAGTGAGCGTTTATTACTATAAGTAAGCGGCGTTGACGGATTTTTAATGATATTTTATGATTTATAATAATAAGGTCGGAATTGCGAGATTGTTGTTACTTTCGAAACGCGTTTTATATATAATTTTTAGAAAGAACGCATATTTCCTTATATTCAAAAATAAAAAGAAAATCCAAGAAAAGCGATATATATATATACATATATATATATACATATATATATATATATATACATATTATAGACTTGTGGCCACGAATGCAAAAGGTATACACGATGCGACGTAAACAAAAACAAAATAGTAAACGATTATAATTACAATGTACACAGATAATAATCGACCGCAGTTAATCATCACCATGCAATCATTACCACGCAACTGTGAAAGGGAGTTTTATATTAAAACAAAAAGAAAAAAAAAACAAAAAACTGTTACGTGCCACTATGCAATACCAATAACAATTTTCATTGATTTTATACGTATAATCGCTATATATAATTTCTCTTATCTCTCCTATTGGAACGTGTCTCCTCGATTGAAGGATCCCCTCGACGCGCAATCCTATCGAGACAGAGTCGGGAGCAGATGCGTGCGTGCGAACTTTTTGATTGTACTGTGTATAAATGTTGATAACTAGTTGATAGTGAAGAGTAACATATACACGTGGCGAGTCAGAAATCGAGGAGAGAGGAATCCGCAAACAGAGAGAGAGAAAGAGAGAGAAGGAGAGAGAGGACAGGATCCATCACAATCTCCTCAGACTCCGATTTTCCGCGTAAGATCGTCAGAGATCGATACTATATATATATATATATACACGGCCGATCGCAGTTTATTCGATCGGGCCGTACCTAGGTCACGGCACGTGGTCTAAGGCTGTGTACATATAAATAATAACGCTCCGCGTTTAGAGTTTATTAAGGTATAGTTTGTATGTTGATCTATATATATATTTATATATATATATACATATATATATATATATATATATGTATATGTATCACGAATGATATAACGGTCACTGTCTCTACCAAGCCGATATAGTATCATCATGCCTCATGTATTACATTAAAACAAACATATTAATACGTCGGCTTATATGATGACGAGCATTTCCGACGGCGATTTTAGATCCTCAAGTCCTCTTCCACGATTTCTCCTTCCGTATAAACATTCTCACGCAAATATTCTTCTTGGAAAAACGTCAGGAAAAAAAAAGAGGATAGTAAATTTTTTCAAATCGCGGTGCGTATTACAAAAGGAATAAAAAATCGAGAAATCTTTACAGACATAAAATTCTAAAGGTAGTTTTTTGTTTTTTAATATTATTATTATTATTATTATTAACGTCTTCTGTTTGCGTTATGTAAAAGTGTGTTTGTTATCTTAATTGTTTTTTTCGGCGCAATTGTCAAGTGCTAACGATCGACGCAGCGATCGATTCGTCGTGCGATAGCGAAACACGCACGTATATACACACACACACACACACGTACGTACGGAGCTAATTAATCGCGGTATCGAGATTCGATCGTAAAAATTGCACACCCGATTACATTAACACGTCGACTGGCAAACCGTTCTTTATCCTACAATTGATAACAATTCTCGAGAATGCCGTTTCGTTGCGGCGTGTCGTCGGTCTTATCTTTCGGTATTATCGCACGCACTCGAGCGACAAAATCGGGTCTTCTCTTTGACATCGTTTAATCCCCGTGCTCTCATCAATCATCCCGCCGCTTTGGTTCTGGAGAAAAATCAATTTTACGCAATTGGGGTTGTTTCCGTGAGACAATGTTACAAAGAGAGAAGAGAGAGAGAAAAAAAGAACCGCGCCACATATAAACACGCGGTTTACGTCGATCCCGGGCGCGTTTTGCATAAATGCATATGCAGCTTACAAAAGCAGCAGGCATTCTGAATAATACTTGTTGCGAGTGTGTGTGTGTGTGCGTGTAGTAGTGTGTATGTATACGCGATCGAAAACGGGAGCACCGTGCGCCCCGTTGCAAAATCTGCATATACCGGTTGATAGCCCGCGCGCGCGCGCGCGCTCTCGCTCTCGCGCAAGAGATGACGAGTGAAAAAAATAGGACGAACGGATCCGCGAGAGCGGTGTGCTGCGGCGGGCCCTCAAACCTCGATGTATATTCATTAATTCCGTCGTCTTTGCCGCGAACGGTGAGAGAGAGAGAGAGAGGGTGAGAGAGAAAGAGAGAGAATTCGACTTCCTTCAGATCTCTCACGAGACCGACCCAATTTTCGTCGTCTTGTTCATCACGAAGAAATCAACGCACACAAACAGAGGTAAGTTTATATATATATAGTATATATGTTCGCGCAATGAAAAGATCATCAAAATCGCATGACGAGACGTGATTGCCGCGTGTGTTGTCACGAACGTTATCCGAGCGAAAAAGTTTTTTTTTTTCGAGCGCTTCCTCTTTCGGCGGAGAAGTCCTTTTCCTCGTTTCGTGAGGAAACGCTGAAGCGCCGTCGCGAGTCGTTTCCTTATTTCTGGAAGAGACGATGAAAATGATTGATTAAAATTTGATGCGATATTTTTGCGCGCGTGTGTGTGTGTGTGTCTTGAATTATGTATCACAGTAATTTATTTGTGCATATTCAACGTCTTTTTTTTGTTCGACTTGACGTAAGTCAAGAAAATTTATAAAACCTATTTTTAGAAACGAAACAGGAAATCGTCCGAAAAAGTCGGGAAACGTGCGGAAAATTGTTTCGCGATTTTTGGTTCTTTTTTTTTTTTATGTCACATCACAAAAGTAAAAAAGTTCGTCGAAATCGATATGGGAGCTCCCGGAGCGTTTTAATGTCACGCCCCATTCACGACGGACGTGTACGGGTTGTTTTTAATATATGCTACGTCGTTAGATAAGTGTATAAATGATTGCGCCACGTGTGCGGCGGTATGTAATATCGATTCTAGCGCGAAGTTTAAAGCGGATATACACACACGACACCGTGGCGCGACATCTTGCATTTTGGAACACTTGTCTGAAGACGCGGCAAACAAAAAAAGTGCACATCGCAGTGAGTAAGAGAGGATGCAGGTAAGTAAAAAAAAAAAGCGGGAAAAAAAGATCCTCGAAGATAAGAGGTGACGTAAACGCGCGAGAGAAAAAAAAACAAAAGAGAATTCGGCGATGACGGCGACGAAAGCGAGAGAGGATAGGGGGAGCAGTGGACAAGCGATGGCGCCTGCGCGCGAGCGAATAGGCCACCGATCTCCGGATGACTCGTGCGATTGGCCAACCTGAACCCGGCCGGCCGGCTAGTCGCCAAAAGAGATTCGAAAGGCTTTTCTCTCTCTCTCTCTCGCGCGCGCGCGCTTCTTTCTTTCTCTTTCTTTCTCTTTCGGAAAACGCGCGAGGCGGTGTTTCCCATGGGAGAGAACGAAGAGAGAAAGACCGAAAGAGTTTCCGATCCCTTGCGCGCATTACCGGACCTGGCCGTCAGTTTGCCAGCGGCGTCGCTCTCGCGCGCATGATCTGTTGGTTTGCGCGCGCGTTTCCTTCGCACGTAGCTTGAAGAAACCAATACACACCGTCTTCGCGAGACGTAAATGTAAACACATATACGCGTGTGTCCTCTCTTCCGCTACCGCTACGTGAAAGCCGTGTGGTATGCACCACTGCGCCCGCCGGCGACGCTGAGAAGAGGAACGTTTTTTTGTTGCGGTCAGCCCGTGAGGAATCCGAGAGAGGAACGAGGTTCTCGCCGCTGCTGGAAACGGTCGACGCGCGAGTGCACGTCGGGCGATCGATTCGTCGGAATCTAGGTACGTAGATCGCGCGTTATTCCGAATCAATCTCTAGGAACAATGGCGAGAGAGAGAGAGAGAGAAAGAGAGAGCAAATACACCGAAGAGAAAGATAACTGGCGCCTGCGGCAACTCTCAGCAGAAATTCTCTCAAAAATTCTAAAAGCGTCAAAAGTCGATTCTAAAAGCGGCGGAGGACTGAAAACTTTTTTTTTTAGTTTGCACGCTATTACAGGTAAGCTGTTCTCTTTTCGGTTGAGATTTTTTTGAGCTCTCGTAGGAGTATTTTTCGCGGAAAGAAAACAGAAAATAGATTTTTATCATTCGCGAGATTCCAACGAAGAAGCTTTTGTTTATTCTTCTGTTTTATTAGCGAATCTCAAATTTTGTTTCCATCTCATTCGAGCTCCGTAGTTTTCAGATTCCCCGAAGTGAAGGAGGATAAGAAAACGAATCGCGCAAACCGAAGCCGGAAGTTTGTTGCGTTTCGCGATATCGATTACGTTGAATATGTTCCATCCATTGGAAGGATAAAATTAAACAGAGACAGACTTCCCGGGA